TCTCGGTGGCAAGCTAGGGATTGCAGGCGATATCGGAAATATTAACTGTGGACAATTCATCAATAAGCTACCACACATGATGACAATTTGGTCTCCACATTTGTGCTCAATATTGGCGTATTTGGAGATCAATCCTATCTTTACACCCTTCGCAGCAGTGCCAAGGGGTGAGACCCACCGGGAAACGTTCATTTGTCATTCAGAGACTGTGTATCTAGGAGTATTGGGGATTGAACACAGACGATGGTTCTACATCAAGCATTAGGGTATTTCAGCTGACGAACACGGGGCATATTTCCACTCAATAAATGTAAATCCGTCGTCAACAGTGGTTACACTTACATTTGTACTGACGTTGTGAATGTCGTTGCCTTAGCAAATGTTTGGGTTTTGGTTGTTTTTATTGTTTGCCACCCCTCTGAAGGTTTCAGCTTACACATTTCCTTCATTATCTTTTTAATTAATTTTGATCAAATGCCTTGAAGGAGTAAACATCGATCCAGGCGTGCAGTCTTCAGAATGGATGTCAATATAACTCTATAGTCCGTTTGCCTCAAAAGCGGACCGATGAATTGCAATCTAACTCGAAAACTAATAAACATATAATACTTAATGAAACGCTGATCACAATCAAAACATCATACCAACTCTGTGAGTTTTTGCAGAAATTATGCCCTAAAAATGAAAAAAGTTGTTTAACAAACTATCATTAACGTATTTACACACTTCACCATTTGTTACGAGGGAGGAGTGCAAAGAAAGGGGCAGCCAGAGCCAAACGGACAATAGTATACTTTGTGGTACAAAACTCACTCATGCTGCTTCCAGCAAACTAAGATGACCGATTCAAGATAGTACCAACTGCCTCATCGACGCCTTAACATTACACAAAAGCTACTATTAGTTATAGAGATAAAATGGCGTCTCGTAACATATCGTACCCAGCCAGTAGCATGCTTTTCCCAAATATGCCAATACAGGTCAAACATTGGAAAAGGCATACATAAGACAATGAATATGAACATATGTCAAAATGGCATGAAGCCGATGGCCAATTTAAATCTTGGTTTATGGGCAGGACAGATGAACAATAACGACTTTGCGTCAGAAAATAAGAGTTTACTCGATTTCCGCAGACTTTGAAGTTATGATACTGCATTTTCGCTATGGAAGAAACTTTCTTTCGGAGAAGAGATTTACCACTTAAAAGCTGGTTTACATAATATCTCTTCTCCTGATGGCGTCAGTGATGAGACTATCACAGTTATAACACTCATAAAGTAACGTAACTCCATCCTCCTCACGTTCACCCTTACGTAACGCTTACGTCACAAGTACGTCATCGACATTGTCAAACCTATCACATCAACAAGAATTATCTGAATATTTCTCCTTTACAGGTAATTCTGCCCATCTATTACAATCACAGGTGAGGTTAATGGTTAAGTGATAATGATGTGGCAATGGTGGTTCAGAAGGCTGTTCATATGATTGTACATATTGATCACTCATTAGGTGACGCGGTTAAAATTAACTACTCGTTCAACATTGTTTCATTTATATAGCGAAGTGCACGCATGCCTGTGTGTGAGTGTGGCTGCGTGTATTAATCCAGGATTTTGATGTTCTTTTGCGCTAGTCCACTGAGATACCATACCGTTTAACATACATGTAGGTGCCCCTCTCAGACACATTAGACACTTGCTTCAATCCATTAAAGCCTTGGGCGGTGGGGTAGCCTAGTGGTTAAAGCGTTGGCTCGTCACGCCGAAGACCTGGTTCGAACATGGGTACATGCTGGTGTTCCCCCGCCGTGATGTAGCTGGAATATTGCTAAAAGCGGCTGAAAACCAAACTCAGTCAGTCAGTCGGCCATTAAAGCCTAAGGACAGACAGGGTAACAACAGCGTATGCTGATGATATGCCACCAAGGGGATCGAACGGTCGATCTTCCGCTCTCCAGACAAACGTTCTCACCACTACATCACAGAAGACCCCTCAACAACAGAATATATAGCAAAATAATAATATTTATTACATGGTATAATTACACTTGAAAAATGTAACGTTGAACAAAATATGCCATATACCTTTAAATTCTGTTCATATTTTGTGCGGGCTGTGGTGGCGGTGTGCGTTAAGAGCAACTTGGACCAGAAATATATTTCTGTTGGCGCCCACACACTGAATAATAATGTTTTAAAATCATAAATAAATGCAGAATTGCCACAACAAGGGATCATATATGTACCAGTGCGTTAAAGCAACTTGGACCAGAAATATTTCTATTGTACCATGAATATGTTTTAAAATCATCTAAATGCAGAATTGCCACAACAAGTATATATGTACCATGTCGAAAGTTTACCCTGCTGAAGAAAACAAATGGCAGGATCTGCTGCTAAATCGATCACAAAACCACACTTGTGTTTTGGAAAAAGGGAACAATATTATGGTCGTTCAACAAAAATGCAGAAATAGAAGAAATATATAACAGAAATAGAAATGTTCTGTACGGCGTAAATGATGTCCAAGTTACGTCCCTTTGACGAGCCAGGAATACGTCACTGTGGTTATGAAGCCCAGAGTGTAAGTGTTAATAGACTCAAAGATATTTTTCTGCACTTACATGGATCACTGAACTATTTAATATAATTCTTGTCTGCTCTGACGAGGTGATGGTTTCTCTTCATAGGGTCACAGCTGGTGATAAAGCGCTACCAATTGCAGTACAGATTTGCGCCCCTTGGGACGCACAGTATGCGATGTTAGGCTCGAATCCCAGATTGATCCGGACTCTCTTCTTGGATAAAGCTAACACATTGTGGTAAATTAAACACTGGTCAAAGCGCCGTAAAACATGACCTAATCACTCAGTTTATTCCAAATGTATTCGCGACAATATTTGTGGTATGCTTTTAAGTGGCTTCACGTCATTATTTCAAAGGTTCATTCCCATGGTAGAACAAACTTATCCTTTGTTTCTCATCATTTGTGTAATATTGTAATGATTTTGGCCCAACCCACATTAAAGTACCTTGATGCGTGACGTTGATGAAGTCATTATCGAAGAAAGACGGAAATGTGTTGTTATCCTTTCCAGAATTAGTCTTCATTTTTTAGAAAAACAGAGTTCCTCTGATTCACACAAAAGTCTGTGACAATGATAATTTTGACGTGGATAATTTTGAAAAATTGTTTTTGTGAATCACAGATTGTCCGTTAATGATATGGACTTAAAGCCAGATGCACCATTTCGTAAAGAAAAACATGCCGAAGAAAACTCTCCCGCGACAGTTGACTGATGAGAAAGACAAAGGTGGCTGACATCCTGACATGAATATTAATATTCCGTTAATAGAATATCATCATCCAGCTCTTACAGTGCAACAGCAGTGAACGATTACTCTACAAATTCGGAGAGAAGCAAAAAAAAGGAAAAGTGAAATTAACAAAATACGACTTTTTGCCCAGTGACGTGAATTGCAAGCGAAAGATTAGACAGTGATGGACAAGGACAATGTGATTAATCCACGCGAGTTGCACGATCAAAGACTTGCTCCTTCCTATCAAAGTACACGGGCACGGTTTGATATTACTGTGTCAATAAATCTTCTCCGGATTTTGAAGGCAGCAACGTTATTTTAATGGCAATAAAAACACAGAATAATGACGTAACACATGTTTGGTGTTTTTCCTAATTTCTGTCTGTTCAGATGTTAAGATTATATTAACGCATATACACGGGATGCAACGGGGACGAGGTGGCTCCCGCGAGCTCCATATATGTAATAGTGGTTTTTTTTTCTTTCCTTGTTGTTTATTTGGTGGGCATTCAAAGGCATTCGTTAACAAAGGACACATCCACTCTGGATGTGCTATTGCAATAGGTATGGTGTAAGGGAGAGAACTCAGCCATTAGACGCTTCACATACCCTAATAAGGTAAAAGATTGCGTGCAAGAGTTCATTGACTTTCAGTTGATATCAACTTCCTTCCTTTTAAAATAACACGAACGTCATTACATTTCACGATCGTCTACGCAATGTTTGAGCGCATCTATTGAAACCTTTTGACTCATACACACTTGTCATGTATTTGTGATGGAAACTTTGAATGATAACGATCCTGTCATTGAATGATGAACGATTTCGAGTGGGTATCACACAACCGCCCATTATATCTTGAAACGTCTCTTTTTCAGTTGAATGTGATTTGTTCTTGTTGTTTTGTCTTTTCGCAAGTCAAGAAACAGGTGATTTTAAAACTAATGGATTCAGGTCAGAGAATTTTAGCTGGCCCAAGAACAAAATTAAGCGAGTTTTTGACGTATGTAGAGAGATTGGACTAAAAAATGTTGTGTTCTTCCAAATTTTAGCACAAATGCTGGTACTTTCATCAAGCACATGATCAAAGTAATGTAAGTCCCCATGGGCCGTAGTATGGTGATCTACCTTCAGTTGTTGGCAATCTATAGCCCGTATTTTATATTGTATTGTCTTCTTTAATTGGAATATTTTAACTTTGCGCTAGTTTTATATTTATAACTGTGATTCTCTAGTCTTTTTACTGTCCATCGTCGACAGGTTTTAATCTTCAAAATGTTTCTACTTTTTATTGTATGGCTTGTTTTCGTCACGATGTGGCTGCAATATTGCCGATGTGACGTTAAATATTAACTCACTCACTCACTCACATGATCAAAGGCTGGACTTCACAACCATCATCACTTTGTCACACATGCTGTTTACAGTTTATGTCAGTATATGTCATTCGTGTCAGTACAAGCGTGGTTTACTTAATTGTTGATCTGCTTGATAAAAAGTACTACCATCTGTGCCAAAATGTTGCATGAAAAAACAATTAAAGAAATTAAAATTCATGCGTCACTACAACAAGAGAAATGTTACGAAAAGACGGTGTACGGTATAATTCCACACTGTATACACAGTATCTCTGCGTGGATCAATGCATTGAGAAACAACAAACATTTGTTCGCATATTTTGAAACATATTTTATTGTTATAGTAAATCACATTTATTTCATCAGTACATGGATACACTGTTGCATACAAGTTTAACCTTGCAGTGCCCACTTTATAAATTAAGAAATGTATATACACTGTTACTTGAAGACATGTCAAACTGACGTCTATGTTTAATGAAACCATGAATAATTCAAGTGAATGAGTGATGGTAACACAGCATTTCAGTTATGGATATCACGGCGTATGATGGTGTGAGGCTAAAGCCCGATGTTATGCATGCGCACAGTCTTAGGGGGCATTGGTATGCTGCTGACAAATAAAGAAATATAATCAGATCGAATTTCGTACTCGAACCAACAATCAGGTGTGTCAACAAAACACTCTAAACATCCTTTAAAACAAATTCCAACGAACCCACGAGGTTAAAAGTTCACCGAGATATTTCATATAACAGATATGTTGGAGCACCATGCATTATTCAGACAACTTTGAGATACATTCTCGCAAGCCCTTTTCACAGAAGTTTAAACTATTGTCATACCACTTTTGCTCAAACTTTACAAAATTCAAGGCCCTAGTATAGCTTCCAAAATGTTTAATGGTAGACATGTCGAGGACATTCCAAACTTAACGCGTCAATGACAAAAATGATATAATATGATATCATCTTCCCTAATTTTACTTGTAGGGCGGTGGGGTAGCCTAGTGGTTAAAGCGTTGGCTAGTCACGCCGAAGACCCGGGTTCGAATCCCCACATGGGTACAATGTGTGAAGCCCATTTCTCGTGTCCCCCGCCGTGATGTTGCTGGAATATTGCTAAAAGCGGCGTAAAACCAAACTCAATCAGTCAGTAATTTTATTTGTACCTTTTTGGCTTAAGATGCTCAAGTTTACAGGTGGTACCAGCTGCGCAGGATTTGCATATCATCACAATTAAACAGTGATGTTTCTGACGCAGCCAAAATCGTACAGTCGACACTGATTTGGGAAGATATCTCTAATGAATATGGAAAGAGTTTTCTCGCTGTTTCTTACTAATATGTACATCCCATGATGTAACTGAATAATTCCACGATGCTAACATACATACCGCGCTCAACTATTATTCCTCATTTATATCCAGCAGATCCTGGTCTAATATTGCGCTTCTTTATGCTGGGTCATAATTACAACATCTGACATTTTAGAACTGTTTTTTTGCGTCTGTTGATGAAGACTGGAAACAGATCCTCCTTTGAATGAGTCGATTTGAACAATATTTCAGTTATTTAAAGTGTGTTAGCGTCATGCTGGTAGAAGGTGATGCAAGTCCTAAACGATATCCCTTCGGCGAAACTGGCATGGGCACGGTGCTGACATCCTAAAAAAGAATCCCGATCCGGGATTCGAACCAAAACCGTTTCTGGCACGCAACATATAGACGTTTAAAGTTTTGCATATCTTTCGAGTCCCTGGGCCATCATTTAAGGCGTTTTAGCCTTGCACGCTTAGCATAGGCACCAAATATTTCAACAATGATAAAGGTTATTGTTTCAGATAAGAGAGAAACACTCTGAGTGTTGAGCAAAGGCTTGATTTTCATTTCGTGTCATTTATTTCCACAGCTGTGATTTTTGCTTTGCATTCGTTTTAAAGAACCTCAGTTATCAAGTTATCTTAATTAACTATGGTAAATATATCAGCCTTTTCATAAGGGACCTCACTATCCCACATCATTAGCTCCTATAAATTAGCTATACATTTGCACATAACGTCTCTAACTAGTTTGATTTAATATTTGCAGCAACGTAAAATAAAGGAAAGGTGAATGTTTGATGACCTTAAATATATTTGTTCTGTTGCCAGAGCTTCATCAATGTTAAAATAACATAGGGTAGTGAGAATGATGAAGATGATAATGATGCTATGATGATGTCCCAAATGCCGGTGCCTTCTGTAGTTCACCTTTAGCCTTGAATGATCATGCACATTTTTTGACATAGCCGCAGAGTCCTGAAGTTATTGGCGTTAGGGCTGCAGCCTCCGTAGACAAAAGGTTCGCAGAGGCCGGATCTGTGGTTGAAGTAGTAGCGGATGATTTGGCCCGTGCAAAGACCTCTCATCTGGGGGTGCAAGCACGCTGCAACAAGGAACACATCATTTCATCGCAAGCACATATACTATATAGCAGGCTAATGCATAACAAACGAAATTTCACATGGATATCACTCATATGTGACAGATAACATACCTGGATACCACAAATATACTATAACAATTAAATGGATAAGCCATGTTTTAACGTATGGACTCGCAGGCGCTTTAAAATGAATGAATGTATGAGTATGAGCGAATATACTTAGTTAAATCAAGATTCATATTTATATTTGACTCTTACCCTTGGGCATTGGGAGACAAACAGGCCTTTTCCCGAAGACGGTACATCGTGTGCCAAATCGACACTTTTTGTTCTGTGGAAAGAACAAACATCACAATGTGCTCACATTTTGTTACATATATATAGAAAGATTTCTATACTCTCAAAGGGGATTTTGAAATATTGTCAGAAAAAGATCAGCTTCAAAACATGACTTCCAGAGATAATTGGTTTCGGAAGCAAGTACATCCACAGCACAACATCCCCGTGCCTTTCCTCCGTAGACGTTAGTAGGGGTTCATTCTTTGTTTTCGACACACCTTCAATTGCCATTGTGAGATTGCTCGGGGCCATGCCATGTGGAATAAACGAATGTTTTACCAATCGTGGATTCATGACCCACTATCGATCATCTCACACGCTCATGTTGTTACTACATATCCTTAACGTCTTTTTTGGTTGATTGTACACTCAAAATAAACACGCAACATGAATTGACAAATTATACATTATTCCTTTTTCTTATCCAACCATTACCATTATATATCACCCTTTCTGTTAATATCAAATGATACTTTCGAAACTTTAAGGGGAAGTACATAATCAGAGAAATAAATGTATATGAAGTTTTGTAATTATTAGTGTTCTTTAAAATGTTCCAGTACCTCACAAGGATTTGGAGGTAACACGTCATTGGGCGAACACTGGCACTTGTCGACAACTGCTTTGTGTTGACACATTTCGTTACACAAAAGTGCAGATGGATGCCCTGACCGTGCGAGACCTGAAACGGAACGTTAACTGAATGTTGAACAAGACCTGAGGATCAAATACTGATACTGTTACAATCAACCACAATATATTTCTATTATGCTTAACTCGGGTTGGACCATTGCTTAGAATATCGTCTACTGGACTGACTTGATTTCTTACAGACTGTCATCATAAATCCGCTGAGTGCGGCATAAAACAAACACTCACTCACTCACTCACTCCACAGTGTGAGAACTGTACATTAAGCAGTATGCTCTTCAGAAAGACAGTACAGTTTAAACTGACTTTGTATAGCAACAATTATGGAACTATTGATCTCCAGTTTGAACGAGAGACTGTGATTGCGGATTGGGCTTTACATGAATATTTTGTGCTCATGATGTGGAGTTGATCCCTTATAAACAAAGCCTTCTCTCATCACGATGAAGGTTTCTTGAAGCCTATTTGTGTCCCCCGCCTTGAAAGTGCTTGTATAGTGATACAATAGACGTAAAACCATACCTATTCACGCATTCTTCTCGTATCAAGGTACATTTCATTGATACAGCAATGTCTGTTGTAAGTTAGTGATATACTTTACTTATATAGGTATAGGTAGAATATACCTGGCTCCGACGGTTCCTGGGCCCTTTGACTCGCCACTGACACCAGGATACACGCCATGAGGCATCCATACAACCCGGCATGTGTTTTCATCCTGGAAGCATTCGTGTCAATAATGAGTGGGAACTGAGGTACTCTGTAACATAATCTATCATTGGGATTACACTTTCTTAGTAACTCTGTCATACAACATTGAACAGATAGCTGTCATAAACCTACGAAGACTATTCACTCTTCTGTGCATCTTCTTAACTTTATTTAAACTCTGGACAAAAGACTTCAAAATTAAAGACATTAATATCCAGGTATTACAAGGCTGAAAACACATCTAAAGTCAGGTCCCCAAAAGGGGTACCCGTATGTAATACATCACCATTGAATAACTATTACGTGCATATTCATATTACATTTCACCAGGCGATTTAAGGAACCTTAAACATTATTCTTCTTAAAGAAACAATCAAATGCACGAATGTAGTTCAAACAAATGAAAATGTATGTGACTTTACAAAAGAACAACATTTAGCAAAGATGTCCTTGAAATGCATTACCTGACATAATGATGGCCAATATCTTCATTTTCTTACTTTCAGACTCCACGTCATTTACATTCAAATAGATAAATACACCATTCTATCAGTAAGTATTGTCCTCTCTGCTGTTATTCACCCCCTACAACTGATAGGTGTTAAGCGGTAACTACTTTTTATTCACCCCCTACAATCGATAGGTGTTATGGGGTAACTACTGTTTAAATTATCTGGTTAATTACAGTCATATATACTACAAATGTATAATTATACAGAGAGAATAAACCGATCGTGAATAAACTACGTTTATAACGAACGCTGTTATGACGAACGGATGGATAGAACGAACTGTTTTGGGATCACCTGCTTTGCATTTAGTCAAAAAGCGTATAACGAACTACAGTTATAACAAAATTAAACTAGTGGTCCCTTATATGTCGAATTCAATCAATCATGTTCTCGTTACTAAGTGAATAGTATCATTATAATTTGTTAAAAAACTCATATCAAAAACGTATTTGTAAATTTTGCTATCAACAGACAAAGAGTCATATTCTTCAAAGAGAAAGGATTGTTTGACCTTGACTGTCCTATAGGGTGTATCAAATATTAGCCTATGAACCGGAAGTGTTCAGGGGTTAATGGATGATTGATAACTTAACAACTCTGTCCCTGTCGGCAAAATTCTACATCCACTATATTATAACCCCCAGCATTATGGTTTCATGTCAACGCTATTCAATTTCGTTAACGAAGCAAGGTTTTCTGACATGGACATTGAAGTTAAATATACTAGTTCTATTTCACAGTATAACTTCCGTATTCACCCATATTGTAACGTCATTTATTGCAGATTATTGATGTTTCGTTCGCACTACATGTTAGAAAGTACAGAAAGGTCAATTCGTGAGACATCACTTCTTTGCTACGAGAAAAATATAAAGAAGACGAAACCAGATTTGGTATTTTGAATGACGGGCTTTATACTCAATATGCACGTGTCTGTATGTTTGAGAACGTTTTAATGCACAGTCGTGCGTAAAGGTCAAGGTTAGAGATCATCTGCGTCCCGAGATGTTTCTTTTGATATTTTCGGACAAACATAACACTAAAACAAAGTTACTCAGATCAATAGGCCGTGGCCAACAGTTCGTTGAAATCATTAGACCACAGTTTGATTGGATTTGACAAGATAACTGAACATTACGTCTGTATGACAACGGCTTAACGTTGGAATTTCGTTTGTAAATCAGAATGAGAATGTAATATGTCAATTACTTTCCGAAATGAACGTTTTAAAAGTCTAAAGAATATTCGACGACATATTATATATAAAAGCAACTGTACTCACCCAGCTGGTAGTATATGTCCGAGAGAGGAGTAGGATTGTGGTTGTTACGTCATCGACGTCATAAAATAGCGGCGCCCTCTCACGGTTTAACTTCCTGTCTAGTGAGCCGAAGTAGAGGTGCAGTCCCGGGTCCTCCTCGTGGAATGTACGAGATCCACACAGCCCATCAATCTCCCTGTCATTGCTTCTTATTTCCATAGGCTATACAACCTGGATCAGCTATTTAAACTCTACCTTTCAGCACTGTGGGGAATGCCGATTAAGATGCATTCAATTGATCATTTCTCTGAAATATTAATTTGCAAAAGGCAGATAAGAATCTGGATTCATAATTATCCGTTTATTATCCCCTTAAGCGTGATTATGTCATACGGAAATTCGTAAGTTCAAAGAGTATATATATTGAATATGCAGCTTGTCAGTGACACATGTTGACGGACAACGTATGACGTTATTGCTCATATTCTTTCAGGGTTTAATTGATAAGTATATCGTTAGTGAATACGTTGTTGTGTTACAGTTTCATATGGCCTTAAGTATATGTGTAAGAATTTATTTTATGTATACCTTAATGCATGCATGCACACACAGATACACACACACGTATACATACATACATACACACACACACACGAACACAGACACACATACATACATACATACATACATACATACATACATACATACATACATACATACATACATACATACATACATACATACATACATACATACATACATACATACATACATACATACATACATACATACATACATACATACATACATACATACATACATACATACATACATACATACATACATACATACATACATTGGTCCCTGCCTGGCGCTCGGAATTAATGGGTACAACAAGGACTGGTCGACTCGGAGTCAGTATGCCAGCATACATTTGTATTATTTGGATTTTATGCATGCATTCACACACACACACACACAGACACACACACACACACACACAGACAGACAGACAGACAGACAGACAGACACACAGACACACACACACACACACACACACACACACACACACACACACACACACACACACACACACACACACATACATACATACATACATACATACATACATACATACATACATACATACATACATACATACATGCATACATTGGTCCCTGCCTGGCGCTCGGAATTAATGGGTACATCAAGGACTGGTCGACTCGGAGTCAGTATGCCAGCATACATTTGTATTATTTGGATGTTAGTTCCTTGACATGTTTACTTCAGCAGAATAGGTAAACACATCAATCTTATGTACACGTATCTGCTTTGTCTTGTCAGGTTCATGGTGACTTGAATACATTACCAGACAACAAAGCGAACAGACGACGTGAGTGTGTTTAAAATCAGCCTGGTTGTGTCACGCTTCGCTTGTTGTTCGCCGGCATATTCTGTATACTAACTATTAGTCCCTGAAAAAATATGTAGTTATTGATAGTTTAAATGGCTGGTAAACGTTGTACAAACCACGAATTATTTCAGAACGTATAGTGCTAAATATGAAGTTTGATAATGTCTTGCAGAATACCATAAAATATCATAAAGTTGTTTTTTCACATTCAGCTAACCCGGAAATTTTAACATTAAAAATTCAAAAGAAAAAATCCAAATGAAATTTGCTTTCGGATATTGAACTCTCTATAAAACCAGTAAGTCTGAAAGCACATCCTGTAAATCTCCTCATTGAAGAACTGGCACACATGCAACTATGCTTATGTCATACCGAATACCTATTGCGTGAGTATATATGAGACCAAACATTAATGAATTAGTCCTATGCATGTAGCAATGATATAACATCCGTTTGTTGGAGACATGCAGCCTACAAGTCTGAATACGTCATCTGGGATACATCATACTACATCAATGCAAGGTCGTGGAAGAGATGCATGCTTGTGGAAAAAAAAAATTTTCATCTTTTTGCGTTGTCATTTGTAACAGTATCTCATGACAATTTGTTTATTCGGGACGTGGCCTTCGTGTACAACGGCATCTTCATGTAATTTGTACTTAACCCATCCTATGAATGGTTTCGGGTTTAAGGGATGGTGTCGAGGGATGTGTGCATCTTCGACATCAGTGTGACACTGCTGTGACAGGAATTCACACAAATAAAGGCTACAGTGAGTTGTTTGACAGACGTTCGTTGTTGCATAATAGGGGATCAACGATATTTAATAATGATCTTTTATCATTTAGAATGATTATGCAATTATATTTTGCGCAATCCTTGTACATGTGTATCCTCTTAAAGGTCAGGCCAGTACAAGGTTAGCCGGTCAGCTTACACATTATTGTTCTACACGAAATCAAAGTACTTTTCAACGTGTTGTATAAAACTAAAGTGCACATTCCTGAAGTACAAACCAACAAGTGTCTAGGAAATATACACATCTGCATACCTGACATGTTTTGCGCGGTTTTTTTACTTTTTGTTTTTTTGTCCGGCTTACCGCAACTGTCGCGGTTTTCTATCCTCAGTATTTGTATTGCTCTACATTAATGAGGCAGAATTACTGAGGCCAAGAAGTTGAACCTTTCCCCAGAGTAAGAAATCCGACTTCAAACAAAACCTCATAAACAGATATCATGTTGATGGCCTTTGTGAAGTAAGCTATAGTAAAAACATTAGGTTTGCCTTATATGACAAAATCATCCTCTACGAATTAAGGGAAAACACAGCCTTGACAAAAAAGTGTTATAAATATCTCAAAATGTTAGAAAAGCCCTGTCCACAAGAATGTTTGCTGTTGTTGTTTTTTTGTGTGCCTTCGGTTGCGTGCAAATTAAACCGATCAATATATACACTAATGACACGGATGGTCCAACAGGTGCAAGCTATGTCATGTTTCCCTCTGGAACTCACTACCTCTCCATGTCAAGTCATCTCCTTCCATCTCCATCTTTAAATCAAGACTCAAAACATTCTTGTTCAAGCACAACTAAATCTTATAAAACTTCTTCCTGTATATAGTGTACATATTTACTGTTGCGCAAAGAGCATGCCCTTGAGGTGTGGAGTTACTACTATACTGCGCTCTACAAATGGCCATATTATTATTATGTAAACGTGAAGGATTCAACGAGTGTTTGATTCCATGAAATGATTTCACAGCCGAAATTGGTACAAATGCAAATATGCATCATGAAATGTCAGTTCAATATGTCAAGATAATATATACATTAAACGTCAACGCCAGAAGACTATCAGCAAATTCCTCTAGGCGTAAAAGACAAATTTATAAGAATGGATCACTGAAAAGCAGTGATATGTCCCAAAATACCAGAAGAGAACTTCAGTATCAACTAATAATACAAGTTCCATAAAACTCCATTTGAACCCCTTCGCCCTGAAGTGACACAACTCTGTACATCATATTGCTACACCTTAACCTACTAAGTTCCATTTCTCTTTCTTTCTTTTTTCTTAGTACCTTGGTACTTTACTTGAAATAGGACCATACAAGACTGCAGCCTTACAACAAAATTTCCAGCATAATTAACGCCGTTCGCAATGTTTTTCAAAAGACATGCAAAAAGGAGTACATCTTTTTAAGGAATGAAAACACACAATACACTTTGGCACTCCGTAAACGAATCAACAACAGAGAGGCTTATCTTGTTCTACTGTGTAATAACAAGTGATGTCAACGAACGTTGCCAACAACAGAAGACGATGACGTACTTTACACTTTAGCATTCAATCCAGCCAAGAAATCAAGGTACAACATGCGTCATAGTGTGACAGAGTACTGTCACCGAAGTCTTTTGTCAGTCACTTAGACAAAGTGATACATTTTGATTGGACGATTACCCTTTCAGAGGCTATGAAAGCGCCCCAGGCCCTGACGTTAATAATTTGACATGTGTATGAGGAGAGATCTTTACCTGGGGGCATGCGGATTATGTTGAACACGGCTGAAGGTGTCAGTGCCTGGGGCACGTCTTGTATGTGTTGCGATCGGACAGTTAATGTTCTCAATAATTCAGCTGCACAGTTTGTCTGTCTCCCAGAACATTATGTTTAAAAAGATGTTCAGAATGATTGAGCATGTGTTCTTCACCTGCAGCTGCCCTCGCTCTTTTTGAATTTTGTAGTAGATAGACATCATGTTTAAAAGGTTGGGGGTTTTAAATAACCATTTCTTGGACTAAAAGTCAGTCTGCTGCACAGTTGTTTATAGCTGTTCGAGACAAGGCTTCTCCATTACTGGCACCAGGTACTGGAATATGAATTATTGAGCCACATCTCGAAACATGGTAGACATCATTCCCCAGAGTGAGTGCCTGAGTATGATATTATACGCCGCTCTTAGCCTTATTTCAACAATATCAGAGAAACACCAGAAAACACCAGAAAATGAGTTTCTTACAATGGATCTGTCTTGAAAATACAAACCATGCTTTCGGTAAGATTGGAGCAAGAGATTAACGGCCAGCTACTGAGTAGCATAAAATATATTTCAAATGCACTGCCCGAGAGAACATCTGTAGTTTTACCTGCAGAAATACCTTCGCCCACACATCGCTTGATATGAGTTTATAACGAGCTACGGACCGACGCGGTGGACAGGCGTGTCCATCCGCGAAGAATAGGGAGATTGTTATGTTAAATATTTGTTTATTATAGTAAGGTATTTGTAGCCAAACGGAGATCCTATGGTATTGTCACACTTTTCCGAAACGTTTATCCATATCCCGAGCAGTGACATGCAAATTCAGTCGATGATCAGATGAATGATTACCGTGACGGCAGATGCATGTAGCCTTCCGTTCAACTCAGAGACTATAAACATTCATTGAACAGATAGAACAAGTATATATGGATGACAACTTCTTTTATTCCAGAGCACGACGTTTCGATACAGGTTCTTGTATCGTTTTCAAGTATGAAAGTTTATGACAACTTCTTTTATTCCAGAGCAAGACGTTTCGATACAGGTTCTTGTATCGTGTTCAAGTATGAAAGTTTATGACAACTTCTTTTATTCCAGAGCAAGACGTTTCGATACAGGTTCTTGTATCGTGTTCAAGTATGAAAGTTTATGACAACTTCTTTTATTCCAGAGCAAGACGTTCCGATACAGGTTCTTATATCGTGTTCAAGAATGACAACTTCTTTATTCCAGAGCAAGACGATACAGTCGTACTCTCGTTTTCATATGAAAGTTTTCAAGTTTCATCATCCATCGAAAGGACTTGTTCTGTCCATAAAGACTTCCAACTGACTTCTAAAATGCCACTTAAAGAAAAGTAATGCATTGAACAGTCTGACTTCCAACAAAATGCCACAAGAAGAATGCAAGAACAACGACAAGACTGACAAAACAAAAATTATATCGTGTCAAGAAAACGAAAAATGTGTCATAAAGTATTTATTTCCTTTTCTAAAAGCTGCAGCTACAATCACATGTATGCCATGCCACGGATTGACTCCAGTCCTTCAATATACAATCTCGCCGTAGTGGTATCTGCAGCGCCGGTTACACTCGTCGACTGTCTGGAAGTTGTTTTTGTTTCCACCGCATCCCCCATAGATGAATCTATCGCAACTCCGGGAATAGGAATTGTAGTAGTACCGGGGCATGTAGGCCTTGCAGTAGCCGACTACCTTCGGGAGCCTGCACACTGTAACGAGTGAATGAGTGAGTTTAGTTTCACGCCGTTTTTAGCAATATTCCAGCAATATCACGACGGTGGGATACCAGAAATGGGCTTCATACATCGAATCCGGGTCGAATCCGAGAACGCTTTAACCACTAGGCTACCCCACCGCCCCGCACACTGTAATGACACGAACATAGATAATGCGATATGCCACTTATTGGAGTATGCATAGTGTGTCCAAGTTTTTTAAAAGTTTTCTTTATTTTTAGGGGTATATAATCATATGGCAAATAAGCATTGAAAAACCTAAGATACATATAATTTCATTTCAGTATTTATTCCTTTAGGTCCTGCAAAACGTTTCAAGGTTGAGATCATGTAGTAGCTGGTCAGTGCTTTTGTGATCACTAAAGCTGTAACGTGTAACGTTGTATGTTGAATAACTTGAAGAGAAGTTAACATAATGGCGTCATTAACTAAATGCTTCAGTGTAATATGGCATGTCATGGGAAGCACATAATGCATGGGAATGTCAATGTAGCCAGTTACAGACGTGTCGCCAAGGAACCCGGTTATGACGCTTACAAATACAGAAATATTATCGGGGAACAGCGGATGCTTAAGGGGACAAACATCCACGGCATCTTTCACCAGGAACAACCCATGAATCTCCTGGCACAAACATGAAGAGAGCGACCCGTTTACGCACCTGACGTATCCGGCACACAGCGGGGATATCCGTACAGCTCATTGCATACGTAGCCATCAGAACACCTCTTTGTCTAAATGAAAAGGGGGTATTTAGGTACACAATGTTTATTTGAACGACCAGAGACAATGTCAATCTGCATTAACCAAACGTATATTTAATAGCAACAATTTGATGACGCCAAAATATGACGTTGCCAATGTAAAATGTGTATAGAGTACCTTGCATGTAACCTTCTGTGGACATCTGCAATACAGGTTCCCTTTCCTAGTCTGACAAAGATAGTAGCAGTTGCTAGGCTGAGGACGGGTGTCTCTCTTGTAATCTGATGGAGCTGGAATTTGTATGAAACATGTACTCATTGTCAAACTGTTATATGAAACAATTAATATAAACGAAAGGGCAGATACAAATACCTATATATCGAGAATATGTAGGGAATAGAAGCGAAAGGTTTAACCACCAGGCTACCAAAATTCTTTTTTAAGCACTACGTGGAAATCGATTTTAAGAAATTGTTGTGCTATAGACAATGCAATAACTTGTTCCTGTACGTTTTGGACTCCCCAGGAAAATGAATGGCTTTCTCCCTACTACTTTTATCAACTTGCTATGAAGTCTTCAATATCGTTTGTGAATGTTACATTTAGCGCATATGACATATTGCCGAGGTGACGTTAAATTCTAACTCACTCACTCACTCACATTCAGCGCAGAGTTGACCTCTGAAACGCACACAGAGCAAAGAAATAGTTCTCAATCAGATGATTTGTTGAAGTCAACAGAGAGCATTCGGCAGCTGTTTTTTAAAAGTGAGCTATTTATTTGGGTTCTCATATCCTCACGAACAACCACATGCTTGATAATTTACTTGCTTTCATGTTGCCATCGTTGCAAATGTAAAGGTATTTTTAGCAGCTATCTCATAGCCATGTCAAAGACGTTTACTCTGATGGTCAAAGTCCCAAGGATATGACGTTCATCATCATACTAATTGATTGATTGTTGTTTAACGCCGCACTCATATTCCAGCTTTATGGCAGCGGTATGTAAATACTCTGGTCTGGACGAGACAATCCAGTGATCAAGAGCATGAGCATCGTTCTACGCATTTGGGATACGATGACATGTGTCAACAAAGTCAGCGAGTCTGACCACCCGATCCCGCTGGTAGCTTCTTACGACAAGCATGGGTTACTGAAGACAAATTCTAACGACAAGCATGGGTTACTGAATTCTAATTCTAACTCGGATCTTCACAAGATCAACATCATAGTAATGTATGTTGTATCTCTCAGGTAATGTCAACCGTACTCGATGAGAACGTTTGATGATACACACTGACAAAATATTACGCGTGAATACTCTACCGTACCCAAGCCTCGACTATAGTGAATGATATTCGCTATGAAACTCAAATGGAATCAAAGAAATAGAACTAGAATATTTGCTGCAGTCTGTACCTGGTTTGGTTGTTGTGGCTGGCTTGCTGGTGCTTGTTTCCTCAGTATCATCACCCATCACGCACACTACTGCGCATGTCAGAGCGATCACGAATACAAACGGATGACTATTCATGGCGCCAGTCGTCCTGAAGGGGGCAAATTACATTTGGTTAACTTGAGTCCATGTCCGATCAATATACAAAGTTTCATACCCATGTTAACATTCGGGTTTGGATTTTTTTTTGTCTTTAAAAACTATCATTAAATTAAGCAACAAAAACGGTTACCACAATCATATGAATTCTCTGCAAAAATTAGAGTTGATTGTATGATTCAGGAACCCATCACAAAAACAAGCAAAAGTAAGCAAATTGTGAGTTGTTTACCTGAAATTACGTAATATTATTAGATGGTGTTCCAAAACGCGTGACAAAACAATATCTTGAGACATTCCTCAAACAACAATCAAGCATTCGTTCATTTAACATCTCCGCATATAACGGTTAAACAGATGTATTTTTTATTCAGAAAATATCACTGCTATTAGACATTTCTAAACAGAGTTCGTGAAAAGAGAAGCTGCGGAAACGCCAATCAGACTGGGATGACAAATGACGACTCGGTCACCACTGTCACTGTAGGTTGCTGTGTCCTCAGTGTGTGGGTTTGCCTTATGCTATCAAATACTAGCTTCTCTGGGACATTATTTACAGGCCAAGTAGGCTACCATAACTGTAATGTTACTGAATATGGCAAAATAAATGAATTATGAAAACGTAAAAGTATACGAGTATACGCAATACTTACACGACCTGATCCAACACAAGCAAGGTAGTGTTTGTCAATAGGTTAGTTTCACCTCCATCTTATAGGGCCTGAAATCCGGGTTTACAGAATGAATCAGCATTAATATTTGCATGTTGTTTACTTACTGAATTTATACTTTCCTTTGCTTCTGGCTATGATTTAAACATCAACAAATATATTAAGGACGGGCGCGGTTTGTTTTGCTTGCGTGTTTTCGTGGGCAAGATCACAGGCGTATCAAAGTCTTCAAATAAAACACATGAAAAACATAAAACTTATACACGGCGAAACTACTGGATTGTCGCATTTATAATACGTGCCTGAAATATATGTAGAGACCGTCAGTGGAAGAAAAAATACCCAGGCTTGACTATCCTCAATAAACAAATCCGTTTGGTGTAAAGGGGAAAGTTTTTTCCACTAAAACCGTGGTAAAACCATACTTACTCAATCCAAATCCTATTACAACATTAATGAACAACATTACAGCTTTATGTCGAATTATATAAAAAACAAGCGTCTGGATCATCTGCCCTGACAGTTCCATTGGGTGTAAAATGCAAAGCATTGGTGACACTTATATGAATAATCATTTAAAATAATTATTGACACCAGGTGTTTGCGAAAGGAGAATGGAGGCCAATGATACAGCATATCAAATGCTATCGGGTACACACTCACACACCGCTGCGCTTAAGGCGTTGAAGAAACCCATTAATGCACTGTGACCTCATACTCATCCCATAGGCATGAGAGCAAGTACGCCAAATGATCCTGCGAATGATATATTACAGTGAAAAACTTTGAAACACTTTGAAAAACAATATTTCCACAGTGTGGATGTCTTGAAGATCCATATCAACGCATAGTCTTCACAAAGGGTATCAATTTGGGTTAAACATACCATCTACGTCGAACTTTGAATTGACCATAACAAGTGTATTGCACCGTCTGTAAATATGCGCACGGTTTTCATTACCCTATTACTTGAAAACAAAGTTACGACGTTTAAACAGAGATCATAAGAACGCAATTCGGTACAACTACATATACCAAACCCGAACTGGAGTACAAATGGTCTCAATAGATTGGCGGTCATGTTTTAAATCGGATTCGAAATTCTTGGCACATGACATTGTTGATAGTTACAATAATGTAGCTTGGTTTGGTTTGGTTTGGTAGTTGTGTAACGCCGCACTCAGCAATATTTCAGCTATATGACCGTGGTCTGGACCAGACAATCCAGTGATCAACAGCATGAGCGTCAATCTACGCAAGTGGGATACGATGACATGTGTTAACCAAATCAGCGAGCCTGACCACCCTATCCCGTTAGTCGCCTCTTACGACAATCATGGGTTGCTGAAGACCAATTCTAAACCGTGTCTTCACGAGTCATGAAGCTTGGTATCCCTTATGATGAGGGAAAAAATCACTGTCTGTAGTGTACACATGTACATGATGGTTCGTCTACAGCGAAACTGTGATTGAGTGAATATGGATGAAACGAGAAATTGATTTCTCAGATCGAACCCTGGCGAACTAATCATACGTTTTTCACATTCCAATTCTCTAACACTTCCAGACAATCAACAAACTATTCGCTTGTTAAAAACTGTACACATAAGTGCAGATAGCATTTTATTTATTGCATTTCGCATGAAATCATTTATCATTATCAATATGAAAGTGAACTTTTGTCATCTATCTAATGAAACATCATCGTCACAACATGTTTTATTAATAGTCAAAGTGTGATGACTCTATTCCAATACTATAGGAAGTGTTGACTTTACATAACGCCTCTCCTCATACACGTGGCAACACAGTCCCCACGGGTTTTGAAGTTGTTTCCGTTTCCTTGACAACCACCATAGTAGAACTTCTGGCAGCTTCGGGTGTCTTTGTTGTAGAAGTAACGCGGCATGAGAGCTCTGCATGGTCCAAGTGATCTGGTCTGCTGACACACTGCGTAAACCGGACATGCGTTACGTTACCATATTTCACATAACAACCCATTGGTAAAAGCATTCCCTCGTCACGCCGAAGACCCGGGTTCGATTCCCCACATGGGTACAATATGTGAAGGCCTTTTCCGGTGTCCCCCGCCGTGATATTGCTGGAATATTGCTAAAAGCGGCATAAACTCATACTCACTCACGCACTCACTCACGTAACAAAACAGTCTTAGTGAGTGGGTTGCGTTTTACGACGCTTTTAGCAATATTCCAGCAATATCACGACGGGGGACACCAGAACTGGGCTTCACACATCATGCCTATGTGGGGAATCGAACCCTGGCCTTCGGCGTGACGAGCGAACGCTTTAACCACGTGCACTAGATTACCCTACCGGCCCCAATACAGTTTTAATCGTGAATATGTTTTAGTGTTGTTCAGAGTCATTAACATGATAAATGTTTCAAGCTGCTAAATATACGCTGGTAGGATCAGACTTTAATAATGTACTGCACATCTGATACACCATTGTATCCGTGTTTTCGGTTTGTGCATATTAGTGTTCTTGTACGTGTTGCCGTACGTTGACGGTATCACACGTCATAAAGGAAGTAGTTGTGATAAGAAGAAAAGCACGAAATTTTAATAATCCCCTTACCTTCGCGATCGGCAACGCAGATTGGGTTTCCATCAATCATTTTACACCGCTGGCCTGCTTGGCAAACTTTAGTCTGAAATCATGCAAGTGAATCAGTTCATTGTCTATGGATACACCCACGTGAGCATTCTTAATTGTCCGTGCCATATTCTTTACAAAATGTTGACATACAGCGGGACAAAAAGCTCGAAGGAGCAGTTAGAGACACACGTAAGCATACAAGTGTTACTTTGAAATTACCCGATAGCTCCAATGCATTTCATATTGTGGATATTGATTAAATAAATATCGTTGAATAAAGTTGCACCCTCAGGTCAATTGATCGTGGGTTCGAATCCTTGACGTTCCCTGATTACGGTTCTTGACTGGTAGAACCACTACTGTGTTCATTGGTTTCACTAAAGTGGTAAGCACTTACGATTTTAATCACTTCGAGCTTTTGGCCCCATGTTGATGACACAGTCATTCACCCAAACATAGTTATCGGTTGTATTACCAACATCCCATCTAACATATCAGTCTGTCTTGTCACCAGTTGTCACCCAACGTGATTTGGACTTAATCATTGTCGTGGCGATTATTGTCGTACATGTAATAGTCATGTAAGAACCACTTCATAACATTCGCTTATCTCTTTGGAAATACATATTTTCATGAAATACGATCGATGAGGTGATTCTTACCTTACATCTGGAACAGTCACATCGGGGGTCCGTCATAGCTCGCCGACAGATAAAGAAACAACGGATTGTTTTCATGTAGCCCAGGACGTAAGACCCTGGGAACAGCATCAAACACGTGTATATTTGTGATAACAATATACTGTGACAAAATAGATAGTGGCAATTATCAAGACGTATCATTCTGATCCATATAGTTGACAAATGGGAAATTAGCGAACTAATTGGTCCTAATGCTTGGTGTGATGATGTGGCAACTCACTAGATCGTAAAAGATTGGTTTGTTGTTGAACGCCGCACTAAGCACCATTCCAGCTGTATGGTGGCGGTCTGTAATTTCGAGTCTGGACCAGACAATCCAGTGATCAGCATCAATCATGAGCATCGATCTACGCAGTTGGGATACGATGACTCGTGTCAACCACGTCAGCAAGGATGACCACCCGATCCCGGAAGTCGCCACGGATCTTCACGGGTCGGTCGTAATGTTTTGTGCGGTGATGTGTTGACTCAGAAGATGGTAGAATAATAGTTCTCCAATTATTCAGCTAACGTCACTAATACCGGGTACGACAACCTCTGTTGGTCAGTCATGGCCGAATTCTTCTTACGCGTCACCCAATGTCATGTTGCCTCGTGTTGTTCCACTCCTCAGTGAGAGCAGCACCGTGTTCACTGACAGTGTTTATTTTAACGTTGACGTACTAGACGTTTTCGCTTTAGAATACCCTTCGTCACATGTCAGAACCGAGTGCTGACCATAGAGTGACAGAGGCGTTTTGTACACTTAAATCGCTATAGTGATTGGTGCAAGTTCCCGTAGCTTCCTCCCAAAAAACAATTTTCCCTTATTTTTAATAATAGTGCAAACATAGTCGCCTTTCTATGTTGGATATCTATATTCAAAGCTCGTAGATTATGAACTATGAACACGGTCAGTGGACCAGATGCATTCCATCTATATTCTGGTCTGAGGAGATTACAACCCAATTGTATTGCAGACTGCCTGTGATTCGCTCTGGTACCTCCTCACTTCAAGGTGATGAGAATAGTTTTCCACCACATTCCAAAGATTTGCATCATATCACGTTGGTAGTCTTGTCTAATACAGGAAACATTTAGCTCAGGTGACACGTTACATTGCCAAGTTGGGAGTTGACAGTTGTGAAGGATTTTTCACGAAAATCTGGTATCATCACTTTTTGTAATGACTCATATTACAAAGGATTCTAATTACAACATATATCTCTTATCATTATGGAAACTTAATTGTTGTGTCGCTATTAAATACTCTTCGTCTTATATTTTACTATACCCGTGAAGATCCGGGTTAGAACTGGTCTTCAGCAACCCATGCTTGTAATAAGAGGCGACTAACGTGATCTGGTGGTCAGGCTCGCTGACTTGGGTGACACATGTCATCGTACCCCAATTGCGTAGATCGATGTTCATGTTGTTTGTCACCCTATTGTCTGGTCCAGACTCGATTATTTACAGACCGCAGCCACATAGCTGACATATTGCTGAGTGCGGCTTTACAACAAACCAACAAATAACATGTTTTACTTGCGACAATGACACTATCCTGTTAAACTTTGTTGGCCACGTTACCTTCACCTGTAGCCATGGAAGCTGCTCTTCTCTGGGACGAGGTTTCTGTAGTGTCTGTCATATTGTGGCCAGGCATTACAGCACAAGTCACGATCAGGACCACGACAAGCATCAACGTATTCATCCTCATCTGAAGGAAGAAGTAATATTTGCAACTTCAATGTGTATAAGTGATGAAGAGCACGAGAGACATCGGTGCATCCATCTACAGAAAGAGGTAACTGTCCAGTTTGCCCTGAGTGCACATTGGTAGTCTTTGGTATGACGAACGCATGGCTACTTAGGGAATACGACTTCTTGGTAAATATTACTAAGGTATGTGTCATTATAATAATTATTGCATAGTATTATCATTTGAAATATAGGGATTAACTAATGTAGACATTTCCAGATGCACATACCTGGAAACGTGAAGAATATAGCTCACTGGATGTGGAAAGAGAGATGGTAGGACTCACTTGTTCCCTGCTTCTTATCTGATTCTGTAAACAATCTCGTAACTAAATTGTATAAGTACTTCCATAAAACTCTTACAGTCACATGGCAAATCCCGTATTACATTAGTGTCAAGATACAAATCCGGCATGAGTCATACAAAGATGCTTTAACCATGGGCATTTATCACTGAAATATGGAATCCGAGAAGGGACATTGTCGCGTTGTCGCATTGTCGCCCTCTCAAAAACAAATAAAATGAGGCAAAATAAAACAAAACGCGACACGCGACAACGCGACATTTCGCTCATTTGTCGCATTGTCGCGATGTCGCGTCGCGTTTTGAATAATATTTGTCTATTCCTCCAAAGGGCGACACGCGACATCGCGACAATGCGACAAATGAGCGAAATGTCGCGTTGTCGCGATGTCGCGTGTCGCGTTTTGGTTTATTTTGCCTTATTTTGCTTGTATTTGAAAGGGCGACAACGCGACAATGCGACAACGCGACAATGTCCCTTCCAGGATTCCATACTGAAAGACTAAATCTCATGTCAGTGCTACCGACCATAAACTTACATAGCTTTAACCATAAACTACATCTTAACCCTTCGAGCTTAACCTAAAATGCAAGAAGATCATGAACAGACTATTTTATATTCAGGGGATGGTGGTGGGCTTGGAACTTGGATATATACCCCAAAACGTAAAACCCATCAAGGCAATAGTGATGAAAATTATGTGAATAGTTATTAAGTGACGAGACAAAGTGTAAAGAGCAGGCATGCCCTATTCTATCTTTCACACCTTAACACCACATAAAGCTAATTTACATACCTGAAGGTGTGAACATTTTGTGCGACGGTCATGGGATTTCAATTCACGAGCTGTATTATGTCCATTCCTCTAACAAAAGGTGAAACAACTCTGAAGCAAATCGTTGTACACAGCTGTTAATGAGTGTATTGTTTCAAATGCAGGGCGCATTAACAATTAAAAACGATCACGGGAGTTGAAGCTTTACCTCTTAACTGTCATGATATTAGAATACACTTTACCTTTGTGATTGGACATACCAGCAGCAAAGAAATTAAAATTGTTTGAATCTGGCCAAAGTGACACAATATACGAGAAGGTAAGGTGATTGTTAATATTTTCTTTATAGGAATCAAATGCATTTACAGGGGGGGGTTACTGATGGGGCGGCCATCTGGTGACGTGGGGGAAGGTGGGTTTGGGGAGGGGGGGCCTGTAGAGAGTTGTCTCCCTTTGGCACATAATCAGAGGATCGTTTGCTGGTTCCCTCTTTCTATGTTTGTCAACACCATGCCCGCTCTTGCGCGTTTTACCAAAGTGGGAATCGTCTAACACTTGCATCACTTCATTCTGTCCTCCCACATTTAGCTGACCAGACGTTATGGAACTTGTACTTTGTTCATAGCGACGTTAATCCAAACTAGACAACGTCACAACAACAACATCCACTGTGTGTACATTACCTCCAGTGGATCGATGTTATACCTTTCTTACCGCTGACGTCTTCGGTGGTCCAGGTCTCCCCAGAGGGGGAGGAAGGAAACGGACGGTTTGATATCTTGGGGCAGCATGCTATCAAATTTTAAAAGATGGTACTTGTTGTTACCGTGCCTGTAACTGTAACAAAACTGTTATGAAACTAAATGTTATGTTAAAACCCATTTCAACCCAATATTTTGCTCCAATACGCCAGCTTTGTGTTGTTAATACCGCGTCCCGGAATCGTACCAACTTCAAGATGGCGACCTGGTGTATGTGTGTGTGCGTGCGTGCGTGCGTGCGTGCGTGTATGTGTCATTTTTTTCATATTTCATCATCACTATATCGCGTGACATATATTTTGTTAGTGTATTGTTGAACATATAATGGTGTTTGTCAATTGGATTTGACCAGGCACGTACAAACCTTATCAAAACAATTTTAAGCCTCCACAGGTGTAACCTTCAAAAGCTTTCTCTTTCTCTCGATTAGATAGCTATCTCACTGCACATGGCATCTGCATTGACAACATATTGAGCCTCCGATTTAGAATGCAGTCACTGCTTCTGTGGTAACCTAAAATACACATGACCTTCGCATCATAAATTGGCCAATAGCAATGTCAACTTGTGACATGTTTAAAAAAGGCTGCAGATGTTGTGTTTCCTGAGGGTGTGGAACATGGGAACATGCAACACACGCCTTTAGGGAAGCATGTCAGAGACAAACTCCAGAATGCACGTATAAACGACACACTGTTGACTGAACACAAATATTGACTTAGGAAAATCTGGATCAACGCTCGCTAAAGAGTAGAAGCCACAAATATTTCTGCTACGTTAGTCCTTTCATATTCGTTTGGTGTTGATTTGAGGAAACAAGATATTCCGAGTGTTGACTCCTTCACAAGAAGAATCATAAGAGACAAAAGATCCCACAACCCTTGCTGTATATATTTACCAGCTGTAAGGGTAGGGTGTTGTTTGAGTGAGTGAGTGAATGAGTAAGTGAGTTTAGTTTTACGCCGCACTCAGCAATATTCCAGCTATATGGCGGCGGTCTGTAAATAATCGAGTCTGTGCCAGACGATCCAGTGATCAACAGCATCGATCTGCGCAATTGGGAACCGATGACATGTGTCAACCAAGTCAGCGAGCCTGACCACCCAATCCCGTTAGTCGCCTCTTACGACAAGCACAGGTTACTGAAGATCAATATTCTAACCCGGACATTCACGGGTGGTGTTGTTTGATTAACAATGAAGCTCTTAATAACATACTTTTGTTATGCACTTTTTAGCACATGTAAGAATATAGTATTATGGCCACTATTATGATATCTGTCAGTGCCGAATTTCAAAACTATAAATGTAATTGAGCAGACATTTGTCACATATTGTCTGAAATGTCTGAATTGCAACGTTTTCAATATGTAGTCCAGTTCGACTATCTTTTATTGAATACAGCGTGTCAGCGTTCCATTTAGACGCTTATTCAATATGATATTCTGGACGATTGAAATTCATCAAAAATACAAACACACAAGCTTGGTATCCGGCTTACAGAATAATGAAATACAAAGTCGATATTTAATGCATGCCATGCGCCTGTGCATATCCTGTTCTTATATCCATGACATTGTTAGGTATTTTATGCATATGCACCAAATGAACATGGGTGTCTTTATTACAAGTACCAAACGTGTTTTGCTTTCAAAGGAGAGAAACTTGAACTTTCATGACATCAAATATTCAGAAATATACCTTTATGACAATTTTAGATTTACATCTTTGTTTTTTTGTTTGACGCCATACCCAACAATATTGAACGGTTCAGGAATTCAAACATTCAAGACAGAAGATCTGGTTTGGTTTCAGCAAGAAGCCTTCAATCAAGCGAAGGGATGCAACTCTGAACAGCGAATTATTTCGCGGTATACCATGACTCTCCATGGGGAAGTAAAGATTAGATTTACATCTTTGTGTATTGCTCCACGCCACACTCAGCAATATTCCAGGTATGTGACGGCGGTCTGTAAATAATAGAGTTTGGACCAGACAACCCAGCAATCAACAGCATGATCATTGATTTACATAACTGGGAAACTCTGGGATATCAACCAAGTCATCCAACCAGACCCGAATCCCCACATGGGTACAATGTGTGAAGCCCATTTCTGGTGTCCCCCGCCGTGATGTTGCTGGAACATTGCTAAAAGCAGCGTAAAACCAAACTCAGTCAGTCAGTCAGTCCAACCAGACCACTCGAACCCTCTTACTACTATTAGCTGAAGACCAATTTTAAACCGGATATCGAAAGGACGTTTCTTATAGTAAATAAGACCTAAACTATGCCCAACCTGACGCATATTGGGCAAGATGTTAAGATAATAAGACACTTCTACCCTTTGGTCCAAAAGGGTCGAAACGATTAACATTCGTAATGGTGTTAGCGCTCAAAACACACGATCATGGTCACGTCAAATGTATGCTTCCAACACATTGTAGAATCACAGCGCGTAAATCACACAAAACAAACGAACACTTTAAAATAAATAGGTTTTATTGAAAAACAACTGGTGGAAATTACTCAAGGCAATACTTCAATTAGTATTCAGGCCTTGGAAACGATTCATGATTTGTTTACAATGTATAATGAACAGGATTATATGGCTATGCTCAAAATGTCACTGGAATTCAAGTAATGGATTTACTTCAGTTACAGTGTTAAGGCCTGGGAAAGAAGAAGCCTCTCTTCCGGCAGGTTCTCATGCACGCCCTCTTGGTCTTGAAGTTGTTGCCGTTTCCTCCGCAGCCGCCATAATGAAACTCCTCGCACCTGTTGGTGGTTTTGTTGTAGTAGAAGCGATGAACAATCTCTGAGCATGTCCCTACGTCCTTGGGCAGCTCACAGACTACAGTCACATATAAACATACAAACGGTCATTTCAATACGTCTTATTGCAATTCCTTTTATTTGTAACGAGTGATTGAATGCGCATGATTTTACGCCGCTTTCAGCAATATATCGACAATCCAGTGGTCAACAGCATGAGCATTGAACTACACAATTGGGATACGATGACATGTGTCAACCAAGTCAGCGAGCATGACCGCCCGATCCCGTTATTCGCTATTCACGACAAGTATGGGTTGCTGAAGATCAATTCTAACCCGGATCTTCACGGGTCACATTATCAGGAACCGCTTGTAACATTTTTCGCATCTTAAAAATGATCCCAGGTGGTCGAAATGTTTGTTTGTTGAAACAAACGCGCTCCGCAATATTCCAGCTAATTTATGATGGTTTTTAAAATTATTTTTTAAAGTTACATATCCTTGTCATTAGATACAGTGAAATCTCGCTTTTCTGGGTGAGACCAAGTTCTTGAATCGTGTCTACAGAAACTTCTTGTAGAAATAGAGGGTTAGCACTGTTTTATGTGTTCAATTAATCTGAAAATAGCATCTCATTTACATAACAAGGAAATGTGTTCTATTACAATCATAACAAGTCAACTGTACGTAGCTGTACTGTAATTTGGAAGAGTATTGAATGAACAGTTCTATCGTTAGGCTACTGTCATTAAGAAGCTTCGCGACTTACCTGATTTATCTTTAACACAGCGCGGAAATCGACCAAGCAACACCTTACACACCTTGCCATCTGCACATTTCAATTGCTGAAAAAAGAATCACATTACAATGTACAGAAACGGAATAGTGTTTCTACGTTGCGCAATCTCATATAAATCATATCTTTTACATCAGTTGTTACTTGCCCCCGTTAGCAGTCAGATCAGGTGAGTTTCTTTATAACTGACCATTAACATGAATATCTTGCTGACCGACTTCCCGTTTAAACCCTTCCAAAGAAGACACTTGACTACTTTTCAGATCGTTTAACGGCCTCTTTCGTCATAATACTTCATGGCATTAAAACAAGTGCATGTTGGTACCCGTGTCCCGCCTTGAAAATGGTGTAGATAGAAGTAAATAGAACGACATTAAAAGTTACTTTACTATATCACCTTGATCATACTAGAAATATAATACCATTGTTCTAAAACCAGAAGCTCCGATTCTACTTACATCACAGCTGTGTTCCGGTCTAGGTTGGCACTTACAGTCAGATGGGACGTTGCCAAAACGACACGCCATCAAACACCGGAGCGGTCGGAAAATACGACCGAAACCACGAAATGGGCGAGGACCTGCCAAAATCAAATGGTTTTGAAGTAATTATAATCATACAGACTGAACAGTCATTCTGTGAGATGTTTTATATTATCAGGTATTGGTACTTCATTTCCATACATATGAAAATTATTTAACAATCTTCGCAACATTAAAATTTGCTTAGATTTAACGTCGCTTTCAACTGTAATTGCAGTAATACGGTTCTGTTGGGTATATCTAAAGTCCAAACGACTGTAACAGCCTGTTGAACCCAAAAGCGCGGACATGACCCAGGCCCCTTAAAGATTACAGCTTCCGTGGAGCTCACAAGCTCGGGCATAACCCTGGTTAATCAACGATTACAACTACCGTGGAGCTTAGAAGCTGGGGCGTAAACCTGGTTGTTTAACGATTACAACTACCGTGGAGCTTACAAGCTGGGGCGTAAACCCCGGTTAAGCTCGGGCATCGCTGGTTCCTTAGCGATTACAGCTTCTTGTGAGCTCACAAGCTCCGGTATAACCCTGGTTCCTAAGCGATTACAACTACAGTGGAGCTCACAAGCTCGGGCATAACCCCGGTTCCTTAACGATTACAGCTTCCGTGGAGCTCACAAGCTCGGGCATAACCCTGGTTAATCAACGATTACAACTACCGTGGAGCTTACAAGCTGGGGCGTAAACCTGGTTGTTTAACGATTACAACTACAGTGGAGCTCACAAGCTCGGGCATAACCCCGGTTCCTTAACGATTACAACTTCTGGTGAGCTCACAAGCTCGGGCATAACCCCGGTTCATTGACGATTACAGCTTCTGGTGAGCTCACAAGCTCTTGTATAACCCTGGTTCATTGACGGTTACAGCTTCTGGTGAGCGCACACCTCGGGCATAACCCTGATTCCTTTACGATTACAGCTTCTTTTGAGCTCACAAGCTCCAGTATAACCCTGGTTCCTTAACGATTACAACTACAGCGGAGCTCACAAGCTCAGGCATAACCCCGGTTTCTTAAAGATAATGATATGGTATTTGAAATCACAATTAGCGACTCGTGATAACCTAAAAGGCGATAAAATCAGTTCTATCACCATCCATGGAATTTGCCTTCAAACAATCTTATCATAATCTATATTTTTAATTGTATAGGAGAAACAGTCTTTGTGGGGATAGAAAGATGGTGTTAATTCTTCAATTAAATTAATTACCTTGCCTGTTCATGATCGGACTTGGGGTGGGCGTGTCCACGGAAAGTGGCATTCTCGTCATTGATGTACCGTCGGCAGCCACGACAGCAACACCGACACACGCAAGAATGGTCAACGGCACTATACCTTGTGGTATCATAGTGAATCTGAAAACAGTTTAACATTATGAGAACGAGTATCTTAAACCATTGTTGGATAGTTGTGGTTCAGTGGTGTTAGTAAGAAGCCTTACTGGTCTTCTCCATATGCACAAAGTATTACAGGGATTAATATTACGCATACAGTTCATTCTTGTTTTAAATACAGTTCCTTGCGTATGAAGTATTTTTGTCATCATAAAGCAATCAAACTCCTCGTGATCATGTACCGAATAATTCAGCAGCGAGTACTTGCACGACATACTCACAAATATTTTAGTTATTAGGTTGTGACCAGTGTATACTTTGAGCTGAACCAAACTCACCACAGCACGTGGTTGACAATAATTTCATTCATAGATTTTTTGTCCGACTTGTTTGTCCCTATACCCCCCTTTAAACAACATTTCCTCAACACTTACAGTATGTGAATATTTACCTTGATCCCCTGTCATTCTCATTAATTATTGGTCCTTAAATAAGTAGAGAAAATTAGTATTCACAACTTTTTGCATCACAATCCCTTCCTTTTAACAGTTTATAAATAAAGTTTGCGACCCTTTCTAACCTATTCTAACCTAAACGCAAAAGAATGATAATTAATTATACTTACAGAAGAAGTGCGGTTATTAAGGACGATTATATTCTTGTGTGGTGACGTTTCCTGATAGCTGCCCATTGTCTTATTATATAGTCACATGCGTAACGTCATGCCTGGCCTATATCTCATTTATCATCCACCATATGTCATATTTTATTAGCTTGACGCCATGCAGAACGTCTATTGTGACGTCAGACAAGATAGGATAAACAAATCGTGGTATAATTACACCTGGTCGTGTATTGTGTACTCACACTTTATGTATATTGTATGCATTTGAATTGTTATCAGCATTGCCGGGGGCTTGTCGTGATTTGCTGGCTCATCAACAAGTGGTTGGAAGGACATGTATTGCGCAGTATGTGGATGTGCAGCCAGTTTGCATCGTGAAGGGTAAATAAGATCGTTTATTTTATTTTTTGTAGGGCATCTGTGAATCATGACATAAACGCGGGTTCTGTGTTTTGCACTTTTGAAGAATTAATGAGGTAAATTTATGACATGAATCTTGCATCGTATGTTTTATTATTTCATAAAAACATCGAAATTCATTTAACATTCAGTGCTATACTAACCAACACCATGTGGATAAAGGATATACAATTATTGTAAATAGCATTAACAGTCAACTTAGATTTTGGCTATAGCAACACATGCTTGTAGTTATAAGTCGACTAACAGGATCCGGAGTTGCTGGTCAGGTTCGCTGCCTTGATGCTCATGATGTCAGTCACTGAACTGTCTAGACACGGCGCATTTAAATTATCATAGACCTCCGTCATAAAGCTGGAGAACTGCTGAGAGCGGCAATAAACAACAATCAAACTAAATAACAGTTTATATTAACATTATAATAATTAGTGTGAATCTTGGTAGCCATAATGAGATTCCCCATGGTCCCTGGTATGATGATCTACCTTCAGTTATTGGCGATTTATAGCCCATTTTTATACTGTATTGTTTTTCCCCTATAGTTAAAACGTTTTAGATTTAATTACTAGTTTTACATACATATCTGTGATGTTCTAGTTGTTTTACTGTCCTTCGTCGGCAGGTTTTTTATAATATACATATACATGTATTTCATTTCAATATCTAATGTTCTCGTCACGATATGGCTGAAATATTGCCGATGTGACGTTAAATATTAACTCACTCACTCACTCACTAACCATAATGAGATTGTACTTTGGCCCTTTAGTCAAACACCACGGAATCCGCTGTGAAGAGTCCCTGTAGAGTACATGCAATTGCATGATACTGCACAGTAATTTTAAGGCAGTCGTATCGGCAGGTACTTTAACGATGTATGGGTGTATAGAGTTTATGAGTTAGGTAAGGTGTGTATGTTCCCTAAGTTATTTTTAAAGCACATATCTAAATCTTAGCTTTACAGTTGGACATTTGTCGCACATACAGACACACACAGACTCATGGCAATCTGACCAGGATTCGACCCTGAGGGACATATAGAGTATGTTTTGTATAACTCGGGATTTGATCCTCGGACAGAGGCTTGGCAAGTGAGCTGATGATCACCTCCTGTCAGATTTTATAAACGTCTTTGTAACCTGGATCAATAACGACTAACGAGCAAAATCTTTCTTTGGGGTAACCACTGGGCTTTTAGAAGAAAAAGAAACCTTAATTTTAAAATTCACAAAATGTTAGCCAATGTTGATCTTGAGCATTTTATTTCCCCCACTAATAGTTTTAACTCCAGGTTTATTGTACAAAGCGTTATACAGAAATTATTTGATATTTATAGACAGGAGTGGAAGGAATCGGTACTGAATACCTGTGGTCCATCTAAACAGGGGACAAATAAGCTACGCTTTTATGGTACTTTTCAGGATGTTTATACCCCAGAATTTTACGTAACTCATCCCATGCCCCTCCCATACAGAAGTGCATATGCTAAGTTCAGATACGGCACTGCACCAATTAATATTGAGCTGGGTAGATATAACAATATCCCACTTAACGACAGAAAATGTTTTTATTGTAAACACTGTGTTGAAGACGAAGTTCATGTTTTAATTAATTGTCCGGTTTATAGTGATGAACGTTTTAGTCTTTTAAATACTTGTGATAGCCTATGTCAGAATTTTAGTAATCTTACTGATATACAAAAAAACTGCTTTTATCCTGTCCAATAGCAATATCTGTTTTATAGCTGCCAAAACCTGCCATGTTATTTTAAAAAGGAGAAAATCCGTATTATATAACTTTTAATTATTGTTACTCATAATACATGTACATGCAATTTTTTAAGATTTTTAGTCTCTCATAAGTCCGTATGGAATGGCCCTTATATAAATATATGTTGAATTAGTTTGTATATATGTATAACAGGGGTGAGACTTTAATAAATAATCTGTCTGTCCTATATAGGACCCAGGCTTTGCTGTAAACACTATGTAGTTACACATATCAAACTAAACTTGTGGAACCATTGACGAATTCATGTGACTGAAAAGACATATATCCAAAGCAAACAGCCCGAGATACCGAGATACACGAGTAAGAATAACGGCCATTTGGAGTCACAAACTCGAAGTTTACACTTAAAAGTTCCATATAAAAAAGTACGCCTTTTGTCGGGAAGCGCACGCACAATCTCCAAACACAACTACAGCAACCAAGAGATTTTACGCAGCAAGGAACAGCATATGCACCGTCGAAATTACTTTTCAAAGATACACCCTAATCTTCATTTTCAAAATCTTCGGTCTAAAAACTTTCTCACCAATACACTTCTTTCCAAAATGAAACAAATCATTTCATTGAACATTTATCGCAAAACGTAGTGAAAATAGACACATGTGCTTGTCTATCTTCAGAGGTACAGGGCAATATATTGAAAATGAAGGCAAATATCTTCTGAGGCTAGGCTTCCTCGTGGCTATGCTTAAGGCTGTCCATATTTTGTTCCAATTTTCGCTCCGACGTTTTTCCCGCCGCTATCTCGATGTATACCCAAGTGTGACGAATGAATGAGTGAGTATGATTTTACGTCGCTTTTAGCACTATTCCAGCAACATCACGGCGGAGGACACCATAAATGGTCTTCATACATTGTACCCATGTGGGGAATCGAACCCGGGTCTTGGGCGTGGAGAACCACGTTTTAACCACTAAGTCTTGGCTGCCCAACCGAAATGAAAGTTTACATTTATTGCTTCTGAAATATGAGTTTAACAATTATAACCAACTCAAATATCTTGGTTTAGCTTATCACTGACTGACTGACTGAGTTGAGTTTTACGCCGCTTTTAGCAATATTCCAGCAATATCACGGCGGGGGACACCAGAAATGGGCTTAACACATTGTGCCCATGTGGGGAATCGAACCCGGGTCGTCGGCGTGACGAGCCAACGCTTTAACCACTAGGCTACCCCACCGCCCCTTTAGCTTATCAGTAACCAGTAGTTACAATAATTAAAGTATAACGTTGTTATAAAATATCTTTGCTGAAACAAAGGAATTACCTTCCTATGAGAAATGCTCAGCGGCACAGCCAAGACCTGCACTCGCTAGAACGAGACAAACAACCATTTTCCTGGGTTTTTTGTTCATGTAGAACCAAGAACTGACATATTTTAAAGATATATTTTCACCCTCATCGTGAAATGGACGGATGACCATGGGCTAATATAACAAGGCTTATGTAAAAGTAGTGTATTGTTGTTTATTAAACGTTTTCCAGCTCTGAATATTATATATTTAGCCGGCTTCCATATGTCCCATTCATTTGTGTTAAGTGATCCTGTTTCACCCCAATTACCTTGCCATTTCCGAGTTAACATTATCAAGGATGGATTGTCAATGTCAAAGATGCTCATACGTGAGTGAGTGAGTTCAGTTTTTCAGCAATATTCCAGCTTTATGGCGGCGGTCTGTCAATAATCGAATCTGTGCCAGACAATCCAGGGATCAACAGCATGAGCATCGATCTGCGCAATCGAAAACCGATGACATGTGTCAACCGGGTCAGCAAGCCTTACCACCCGATCCCGCCAGTCGCCTCTTACGACAAGCATGGGTTACTGAAGATCAATTCTAACCCGGATCTTTACGGGTCAGATGCTCATCCAACGTTAAATATGAGCTCAGAAGCCATGCCACTATGTTTGTCATTGCCAATGACCAAAACCTTCCGTTTCCATTGCCGCTATCAAAAATTCATCTGATTCAATACTTGTTGACCATTGTGAGGTAGCCTAATGTTTAAACACGGAGACCCGGGTTCGATTCCCCTAATTTGTACAACGTGTAAAGCCAAATACAAGTGTACCACGCCCTGATATTGTCAACAATCATGCTGTCGTTCGATCCGGGGTAAAACATCCATCTGTGATATATTCCTTTTAATCGTAAGTGGTCTGCAACACTAATTATTCACCTAATTTCATGATAGTTCAACGGTTCTTAAAAATACGCCATTTCTGATTTCAATGCTAGAATACGGATAAAAGGCTTGCATTCTCTTACTTAGATTTTGAATGGATCAATTTCTTGACATCAAACGTTGTTTGGGCAAGACTTCCGCCTGCATCCCAAGTTTTAACGATTCAGGTAATATGATTTGACTAGAAGCCATAACATAAGTTTTAAAATGACATTGTGCATACAGATATTAAATTATCCTGATTAGGGTTAGGGTTAGGGTAAGGGTTAAAGGGGGAATACGGGCAGAAGTCTTTCCGTTGTTTGTGTGGTACAGTTGTACATTGCCAAATTATACAGAATTTGCATATGTCATTTTACCCAGCACGTTTCAGCGAAACGGTAATGAATGCTTATGGGATTTCTGTTATCTTGGCCAGTTTATCAGGAGAAAGATTCGTCTTGTGTCCATAACATGGCATGCTTTTGTATTTTGCCAAACCCCAAGACTAGACTAAAGTAGATATTACCGACGTAACGTTGGATGTTTATCGCATGTTCGGATTGTGATTAGTGATTCATTTGCCAGTTATTTAGATTCCCACTTTATATAAGTGAAAAAAGAATTATGAAACAGAGTTTGCGTATATGCCAAATGAAAAAAGAATTATGAAACAGAGGACATTCTGTTTCTTCAATACCATTTCATTGAAAACATACAGGTCGTTCACGGTCTTCAATGATTTCGTGAGTTGTTTACCTTAAAATCATGGTAACCGATTCTGATAAAATTTTACATAACGATCGTGTCAAGGAAGCATATAGATCGTTGCACGCGGACGTTAAACGTTTAAATTTTCAGTTCTTCGGGATTTTCCTCTGAAATTAGATCCCTCAATCTCCTCGAACATTCAAATATCCTTATCTAACACATAAGTACTGTCTATATCATCATCATAATTTCTCCGAAAATCTGTTGACAATTTCATTTTCGCTCGTACCTTCATGAGACGTAACACCATCAAATGCTAGAGCTCTGAATTCCTTGAAATAAAACAAAGACGACAAAGATTGACAGGACTCAATTAATTGTTTATTTCTGTTATCGGGATGATTTCACGGGCACGATTACCGTAGATGCGGAACTGTTTCATCTGAAAATAGAAGCATAAATATAAATGTAGGTAAAGATATCCTCTTGTACACCATCATCAGTCCGTCATGAGATCTGATCAGCCCTGTGGATGTGTTTTATTAATATGGCGTCCTATCACAATGAAAGTCTTAACTGTGATATTGCTGATATTCCTGTCGTGGCATGATATTATTCTATCGATCCAAAGCCACCCCCACTTCCCAAATACATAAATGAATCAAACTCTCAAACCTATATATATATATACTACCTATCAAAAGTTTAGACTCACTTTAAAGTCAACTGTTCTAAACTAGATTTAGACTTATATATCTGTAAATATATATATATATGTATGTGTGTATGTATGTATGTATGTATGTATGTATGTATGTATGTATGTATGTATGAGAGAGAGAGTGAGAGAGAGAGGGGGGGGGGAGAGGCCGGGAAGTGCGCGTACAGACACTAGCCAGAGGGCATCAGGGTGTAAGATTGACCAACCAAGCCGACGGATACTCACGTATTATTACGACGAGAGTTGGTAAATGCTTGAAATCATAATTATGAAAATACTATGTTCCCACGTTGTTGGTCTTTTTCAGACATTTCAACACATGAGTTTAATTTAAGTATTATCTGTATTTGCAGATTTAGTTGACACAGTACCTCGTCCCCACACAAAATCTTGAGCACCTTCTCCTCCACCGACAGAATAAAGAAGGTCCGTTTCGTTATGTTGCGAACAGAGATCTCTTATATATATGTTATAGGATTTGAGTTAATTGATAAAGGATACTCACGGCATAATGGTACGTACCATCATATGTCCAAATAATATATGAATTGTAACTAATATTTCCCCAGACGGTTCAACTAAGTCATAAGAACCGACATGACAAGAACTTTACGTAGCCAATATAAGTGTCAATATAGAACAAACTGTATGGATACCAACTTCTTTTTATTCGTGAGTGCGACGTTTCGATACACACGTTTCTTCCGTCGTGAGATTCTTGTACCGTTGTCATGTCATGCTTGACAACGGTACAAGAATCTGTATCGAAACGTCGCACTCACGAATAAAAAGAAGTTGTTATCCATAAAGTTTGTTCTATATTGTACTCCCCAACTTCTAAATGCCACTCAAAGAAACGTGCGTGAGTGGAATGCAACCATGTTTGTTTATAAGGAATTTCTGACATGTAATTTGTACAAATAAATGCAGCACGTTTTTGGAAAGGTTGGCCACTGTTGACTATTTAAACACTAGCATGTGAACTGACGATACACCCGGACTGTCGAATGTTTTATCGAGTACACACCCGGACTGTCGAAAAGCAGTGGAGCGTGGCAATGTTCAACACTGCTCCAATAACACCCGGACTGTCGACTGCCTTGGAGAACATGACCCTGCGAATAGCAGAAAGACTGCGCTAATCCGCTATACTGTAATTAACGAGGGAGAAGACATGAATGCTATTGTTGTTGAAATAAGTAAAGAGTTGGAGTTAACTAGATTTGTCACATTTCCTTCTCAATGGTACAGATACAGGCGGAAGTACACAACTGTTGTTGTTGAAATTAGAAAAGTTAACTAGATTTGTATCAGATTTGTCACATTTCTTCTCACGGATACATATGTAACTATATAAGCTAGGTAAGTAACATAAACGATAACAATGCAGCTTAACTGCGTCTACATTCTATGCCCCACTATGCTATACGTGTTTATAACTTACCCCCTACCACCACCACCACCACCATTTAATCCTATCTCTTACCTATTAACAATCATTACCCTTTTTTATTTCACTATTCCCTTCATAAACTCGGCTTTTACTATGTTATTTCGTTTATCTGTTTTAAACTTTTTTATTTCAAATTCCACCTAGGTTAACGCCCCAGCATTTACATTTTTTGGGTACGGTTGTATATCCCTTATTATAAACTTATTAATTATTATCTTATATCCCACCTACCATCATAAACGATGTCTATATCAGCTATATCATGTTAAAACGCCTCCAAACCATTAATAAACCAACAACTAAAACTTTATAATACAGCTTGGATAAACGGTCAAATACCAAAAGCCTGGAAACATTCCCTTATCATACCCATACACAAACAAGGCCAATATCTCTAACATCTAACATGCAAAACTATGGAGGGTATGGTTAACAAGCGCCTCACACAATATCTTGAAACACAAAATGTATATAATACAACTCAATCAGGCTTTCGCAAAACAAAAAAGGTTTAAAAGGGGCACTTCTAAATTTTGCATCAGCCTTTCTAACAGACATACTTTAAGGTCTCCATAGACCATCAAATCTGATGATATATTCAACAACCTCAGTAAAACATAAACAAATCCCAGTTTGCCGACGATGGAGCAATATGGGTTAATGAAAACAATAATTCCTCTTAAAAATTCGACAAAAAGGAGGAGACATATGGCCGAGCATGCCCGTATAACAAAGTGGCCACAATAAAGAATGTACTGTATAACGTATTTTGTTTTCCTTAATGCCTGGAGCGTCGAACGCCATAGTGTTAACGCCTAATTACCTCCTTACGTAATACCCGAAACATCGAATTTTTAAGATTTCAATTTTCGACAGTCTGGGAGGACACCGTCCTGACGATACATACAAAATAGGATAATAAACAATGATAAAATGCCATGCACCTTACATCTGTCAGATCTCTGGTAGAACATTTTCTGGACGTCAGTAGTCGCCGTTGCCGTTGCCGTTGCCGTTGCCGTTGCTCTTGCTATTGAAATTGCCGAAGCCGATGCCGTTGCCTTTTTCAGATATGTCATCATTGATCCCTTCGTCACAATCGTCGTTGTTGTTGTTGTTGTTGTTGTTGTTGTTGTTGCATCCTGTTTTGCCAGGTTTGCTTAGGACGACGGAACACACACAGGCCAAGACAATGAGTATTACGACGAACTTCATGTCTGCTGTTCAATAGCTGTAAAGTAAGTAATAATATGTATAGTGACAAAATCCGCAGTTAAACCACCACTATCACTCACTGACATGGTTCTTATTACACTCACGGGACAAACACGATGATCAGCTTATCACTGACAGTGTTTACATTTAATCACGTAGTATTACGTCGGTTAAAGACAGTATTAGTGACGTCATGCAAATTTATAACATTAACAGGGCGGTGGGGTAGCCTAATGGTTAAAGCGTTGGCTCGTCACGCCTAAGACCCGGGTTCGAATCCCTACATGGACACAATGTGTGAAGCCCATTTCTTGTGTCCCCCGCCGTGATGTTGCTGGAATATTGCTAAAAGCGGCGTAAAACCAAACTCAGTTAGTCAGTTATAACATTAACAGTTATACCACTACACAGGGCGTACCAGTATCAGCGTCTCTCACACATCAGTTCAAAACCCGGCCCTAACAAATACACAGATATCTTTAGTCACGAATCATGGTATTTCAACCTATTTATTCTTGCTCTGAACATCGCATGAAAGAGTGTTTGTGTGTGTGTGTTTGTTTATATGACTGCGGTATTTAAATATTCCAATATGGACCAGACAATCCAGTGATTGACATCATGAAAATCGATCTACGTAATTGCGATACGATGACATGCAATTTTGCCTTGGTAAAATGCACTGTCCACAATAAACAGTTATGAGAGAATATTAAAACATAGGAAGGCTACAGTAAAATAAAATATAATAATATACACTTTTACGCTGTAAGTAACATATTTGTTTTCAAGCATTCAAACACCTTCATCCAGTTCATATAAAGATATCAATAATACATAATCCATAATAAACATCACACGCACGAGACATAAGATACAAATATTATGCTAAAATGGAAAAAATAGATAAATAAAAAGAAATAATGTAAAAGTTAGCATAAAATGGTTATTATTATACTTATAGAACTTATGAAGAGAGGATAAATGAGGCTAATTCTTCTTCAAAATACCATCTGCTAAATAATATTGGTATTTAGACAGAATTATTGACCTAAATCTTTCTTTCTGAGAGATTTGTGAGTCTTACGGATTTTAAACATATCTTAATTGATACGACAGTTTCCCCAAGTTCGACTTAAAGCTATTCTCTACTCAGCGTCAGCGGGGGTAACAGGCGCTTCGTCCTGGGCCCCGTTTCACAAAGCTATCGTAGCGCACGACTGTCAGAAGCCTATGTTACAGTATAGAAAGTACGACAGTCGTAGCGCTACGATAGCTTTGTGAAACAGCGCCCTGATAACTATAGGTATGTCATGGATAGCTTCTGAAAATCGACGTTTACTCATGGTTAAAAGTATTACTAATAGTTTACTAAGATTCAGTAATGGTTCACAGATATTTACTATTGACTGAACTGTATACTACAGTTTCACGATAGATCAGATCAGCGGGCTGGAGAAGTGCGAGATACCAGGGTGTGGAAATGACCCCCCTTTATAAGGCCTGTGTCCACGTGACTGAATACCGGTATGATGCATAGCAAAAGGAAGAAGTTGTTTTCTAAACATTATGTCAACTTGGTCATCCGTCAACTTCTAGGAAGCTCGACGTTTCTATATTTTATTTTAAAAGCCCGAAAGTATAACTGACATCCTGGGGCAATTAATATTCTTTATATTTAAATGTTAAGATATTTGTCATAGAACATGACCGTGGTCATAGAACGCCGTGCTTGTTTCAAATATTGTAAACTGGTGGGTATATCTCAAGATATTGCCTTCACTAAGTTCAGCACGAAAATGTAGGCACAACGTTACAATCAGTGATACAATCAATGGACGCAAGCCACATTGCTAGCAGTAACGTAAAGTGGACACAAGTAAAGCTTACATGCTGTGACGTAAATTGGACACAAGTAAGGCTTACATGCTGTGACGTAAAGTGGACACATGCCACATTGCATGCTGTGACGTAAAGTGGAAACAAGCTAGGCTAACATGCAGTGATGTAAAGTGGACACAAGTTAGGCTTACATGCTGTGACGTAAAGTAGACACAAGTCATATTGCATGCTGTGACAAAGTGCTGCTGTGACGTTAAGAGGACACATACCATATTGCTTGCACGTAAAGTGGACACAAGCTAAGCTTAAATGCTGTGACATAAAGTGGACACAGGCTAGGCTTACATGCACTGACGTAAAGTGGACACTAGCTAGGCTCACATGCTGTGATGTAAAGTGGATACAAAGCCACATTACATGTGGACACAAGATATGTTTACATGCTGTAATGTAAAAGTGGATACAAAGCCACATTACATGCTGTGACGCCACATAGGTTTACATGCTGTTACATCACTTTACGTCACATCATGTAAACCTAGCTTGTGTCCACATGAATTTTAAGAATTGTATTGTCTCATTCTGTGGTGATCCGAAATATGACTTCCAGATTGAATATTGTATCACTACTCTATGAACAATTGATACTTCTTCCATGAGAGGGGCGGTGGGGGTAGCCTAGTGGTTAAAGCGTTCGCTCGTCGCTCGTCGAAGGACCGGGTTCGACCACTTTAGGTCACAGCATGTAAGCCTAGCTTGTGTCCACTTTACGTCACACCATGTAAGCCTAGCGTGTGTCCACTTTTTCGTCACAGCATGTACACCTTGCTTGTGTCCACTTTACGTCACGGCATGTCCACTTGTGGACAGCATGTACGTCACAGCATGTAAGCTTAGCTTGTGTCCAGCGAGCGAACGCTTTAACCACTAGGCTACCCCACCGCCCCTCAATTGTTCTAAGAGTAGTGATACAGTATTCAATCTGGAAGTCATATTTCGGATCGCCACAGAATGAGACAATACAATCCTTAACATTCAAACAGAATGTCTCAGATTTCAAGTTTCAACTTTCAGCACCATTCAAAATCAAACACTTTAGTGATTAACGGAAATCATTGTCTTGTTAAAGGTGATTGCGACATCTTTTCATATCAATAGAGTAGTTTTGAAAGTACATACATTTTCACTTGATTCAACATACATGATTATGTCATTTTCTAATTAAAATATATTTGTAATAACTAGTGGATTAAGGTTCGTAGAACCAAACAAAAATAAGATTGGTCAATAAATTTTAGATCATTTCAATTATGTGAGTTTCGTCACATTCTCAAAAGACAGACGTTCTCACTAACAGAATTACAACACGCAAATACTCTGTTGACTACAAGATTCATTGTTGATAATTCCAACTCTCTATAGATAAGTCTCTCCAGAAATCTGTATTGAACCTCTGAACCGATTAGAATGTGTACAAGCCAAAATAACCTGAGATTAATCAAATACAAGCATATATAATAGTATATAACAATACATTTATTGCCATAACAAGAAATATATTTATTGGCATTTAGAACTGCACCCATATGTAACAACCTTTGTCCATCATATTGACCTAGGACACTCTTCTATACAAATAATTGTCCTTCTATCAGTCGCTTATTGTCAAATCCCTGGTTTAATGTTAGCACTTAGGCGGAATTGCGAAACCATCCGCTTTCTATGAACTTGCAAGCTTCTTTGTTTTATCTGTAGCCTGTCTGAAAGTGATTAAGTTAGCCTATTAACTAACAGTATGTTTGATTTATGTTATTGACGTTCCGTTGCGTTCATTACTTTGCATAAATTCAAATGAGTTGTTCCAACTGCACACGTCTGCATATTGTCTTTGTCAAATGGGAGACGCAGCCGTGTAGCTGGGCATCTGTCAAGACAGATGCGTGTCACATAGCTAATTCAAAGTCCATAAAGAAGAAGAAGAAATTTTAAATAGTTTATTACTGTGCCACATGCTGAATTACAACAAAAGACATTTAATTATTCAGGGATTTATGAATAGCATCCGGCCATATGGCCTATGAAACACAAATATCACAGTTATAGGAGTGAGTGAGTGAGTTGGGCTTTGCGCTGCTTTTAGCAATATTCCAGCAATATCACGACCGGGGTCACCAGAAACATTGTTATATGTGTCACAGGTTCAATTGTTCACATAATGTACAGCACAGCACCGCAGCACTGGCACATTTTACAATTTTTGTCCCTAACAGCTTGCCATACAGATGAGCTGGCTGCCGGCAGGTACATCCTGGGCTCTGGCACATACTGCTCCTGCAGTCTGTGCACTCAGGTGATATAAAAGCTGCATGTGCCATGTGCCCGGCTCACACCATGCTGGCAGTGGCAGCCCTTCATGTAATTTCCCTAATTACAGGTACGCAAGTTTGTTTGCATTGTTCATATTATAACAATTTCTCATAATTAAGTCAGGTGTAACCTGTATTTAAATAATTACATTTAATGGTTTAGTAACCATTAACTTTCAGATAGATAATATTTTATGTAAAATGTCACAATAGTTTTACTTGTTGTATTGATATATGGACACACCATGCTGGCAGTGGCAGCCCTTCATGTAATTTCCCTAATTACAGATACATTTATGGCACGGTCGTGTTTGACCAACCCCAAATGGCAGAATAAAGCGATTGAACACCAGCCCAGAGGTCGTGTTATAAAACCCTGCGACATATGAAACATTGATAATAACGTTACACCGACACAAACATACACACAAACACACAGGATCCGTTTTCGGTTCCTTTATGCACCATTAATATATAAAGAATATCACTGAAAGTGCAGTATGATAACACAATTTGTGGAAGTCATCCTGTAAATATATGGCACTGTATAATCAGACATTTGAAGAACGATGGTTTAAGTAATGTTCAACCTTTGAACAATCATCCTCTGTACCGAAGATATAATACGTACATAGAGAATCTCACCCACTGTCTTCTGATATCAAACATATCACCACGAGTTGATGAAGTTACAAATATCCGATGCTTGCCGAGGATATTTTACGTTTATCAATGAGTGTTGATATGTTTGAGATCAGAAGACATGAGGTGAGATTCTATTCATCATCAAAAATCATTCTGCATTAGTTTTCAATGAAAATTATACATCTCTGAAGACTGTACTACCATTAGACTTGCAGTTCAGCGATGTCATAGTGACGTCATCAAGTTCATGACGTCATAGCATTCATTGTCAGGGCATTGTACAAAATCTACTGTCAAAACGATATCTCCCAGGAGATATCGTTTGATCTCACACAAGCAAGATCTCCTGTGGAACACAGTTTTGTATGATAAAGTTAAAAGGTGTTTGAACACAAGGGAACAGTTTCAAGTCCTGCCACTGTATTCGATTTTGACTTTTAAATTACTTTTCTTCAGGTGATCAGGTGAAACAAATTCAACAGTGACCATATTTTGTCATTAAAGCAAGAGTACCTTTACACTTAAAACATTTGGTTCTTTTAATGAACGACATATTTCGTAGGTGAACGTGAAGGTGACTAATTGTATGTTATAAAACATATGTAACTGTAAACTGCACTACTCAATGCATGTTAAGGCGACAGTTCCCCAAATAGCTGTTCATAAACGGACCAGTCTATCTAAAAGTGTGAAAAACGTTTGTGTTAGCAGAAAATCGATCAAATATATAAACATAATTATTCGTTTCAGGTCCACAGTATAAATGTGTCACACACTGATATTATCTTGTCAAATCTGTTGACAGATGAAGATGTATTGGGGAATGATATGGGTGTGCATTGCCGAAGAGATTATCCCCAGAAAAATTAAAGTGATATGTTCTTGGTTCCGTTGATAATCCAGGGAGTTTACTTCATAATATACGTTTGTCATTACAGCTGTGTCATCACAAGAGGAGTGTAGAGCTAGATGAGCTGTTCCCGATAGAGGATTTTGGCGCTGGCATGAACACGGGACAAGCAGTAAGCCCCACTGTCTTAGTCTGTTTATCTCTTTCTTTCTCGTATCCGACGTAAACAAATAAAACGTTTTTGGGATGTATGCCCTGATGTGATAACAAATAATACGCTTTCCCGTGCACATTCATTAATAACCGGGCAGATTGATCTTTCTTCAAATAATTTTTATTTTTATATGTTTTCGAAGCCAACCGACAACCCTATCAACATCAAGAATTAATTTGTATTACCAAGTTATGTAGATTTATCATTAGTAAAAAGTAAGCAATTCAATTTGTAAAACCAAAATATTTCAGCTTAATATATTTCGAGACATATCGCCTTTCCGGACTCTTGCTGGATGAGATTGGAGACGAAACTTGATGTAATAAACTTACAGATGGCCTTATTCAAAGTAACAAAGAATGTGTTCTCACAATCATCAACGTTACTATAAAATAAAACAGGCTTGTTCATAGTTAACAATGCATTTTGAAAAAATACAAAAACATATGCAGAGAGAAACAGCCTTTCTTGTAACACCGAGTGTTTCCTCCAAGCGAGAAAGCAGTATCGTATGCTGTCGAAGCCTGATGATAAATCAAGAAGGACCAGCAGGTTCCATTGCCCTGATGACGTCGCTATGGACACGAACAAGCGCAGTCTCTGTGCCATGTTTGGATTTATGAGCACTCTGGAAGGCTTCAAGCAGGTCGTTATTGGAGAGGTGTCCTTCAAGCCTTCGTGAAACAATTTTCACCAAACATTTTAAAATGAAAGATTAGATACTGGCCGGTAGTTGTTTTAAGTCATCCAGCCAGATTTACATAGGCCTTTTTAATGAGGGGAGTGACGGCTACCTGTTTGAAAACTTTAGGAACTGCGGCATCCTCCCAATGAGCTGTTGACCACACTGGATAATGGACTGATGAGAGAATCTAAGTTTGCTTTAATATGTGCGTAAGTTACCGTTACCTTAAATTCACGATAGACACTGAGAGTCAATGTGATTCACAAATAACAAAAACCGTTATTAACAAAAACCTGTATTTGGCAGTTCGATTCATCATGCATGTTGTGGATTACCCAAACAAATTCATTAATCACAATTATGAAGATAAAACGCAAGACAAACATTATATTTAAAATATTAAATATATTATTGAATAAAATAGATTCTTCAAATAGGTATTCACATATAACAAAAACCTCAATTAAGAACATATGAATATGCAAGAAGATGAGATACGGGTACGGGGTTTTAACATTATGTTCAATACTATTTCATGTATATTTCCCTGCAAGGTGTGTGTGTGAGGCTGTTTTACCGTCGTAGCCCACTGAGATACAATGGCCCCTCTTTTGAACACTGGATCTCCATTCAGGCACAGTACAATCCCAGCCGACCATTCCTTGCTCGATCCTCTAAATCCTGATCGGCAGGCAGAGTAACAAGAAGTACCGTTCGGTATGACGTTGCCAAAGTATCAAACACCAGACCTACCGCTTGTATCCACCACACGACAGAACCATTCGAGCATACAAAACAATACATCGAGGTAAACAGTATAATTATACAGAATAAAATATATCCAAATCAAGACTGTGTCTGCCATTGTGATAAGCAACTGACATAGATTCACTCATCATTTCCTCTTACAACGAAGTCCAGGTGCCTAGATCATGACAAAACGGTATCACTTTAATATGTTGAGCAACAACACAAAGAGTGTTTTAATATGGTCCTACGTCACTTCGAGCATGATGCTGGTCAGGGTGACTTTCAAGTTTGTGCCTCGAATTCACAGCTTGTACCTACTCGTGCCGACAGATATACGTGATGACACCTGATTACTTTAAACCCAATACTCTTGCCAGTATCGCAGATTGGAATGACCTTTCGCTTAATATGTGACTTTACCTAAAAAATAGAACCTTCATTGGCTTCGGCCTTTACAAACACTTCCTGTGGATCATATAACTACCTGTTGACCTTGCATATGCTCCACGTTGACCTCAAAAGCACTGTTTGTGGATTCCACTCACAGACTACGGTACAAACACTGACTGAAGGCCGTACAAACTTATCCGTGAAGATCCGGGTTAGAATTGGTCTTCAGCAACCCATGCTTGATGTAAGAGGCGACTAACGGGATCATGTGGTCTGGCTGACCTGGTTGACATATGTCATCGTATCCCATTTGGGTAAATCGATGACCTTGATCACTGGATTGTCCCATCCTGTCCAGTGGTCCGGCTAACATGGCGTCATCGTATCTTGCCCATGCTTTTGATCACTGGATTGTCTGGTCCAGACTCCTTTATTTACAGACCGCCGCCATATAGCTGGAACATTGTCGAGTGCAGCGTTAAACAACAAACCAACAACCAACCGTTTACACACTACATATGGATCTAACACCATTCCTGTTGGTGTCACACATGTACACATACTGTGGACCCTGTATTCACTTCCTGAGGACCCTAAAAGCACCCTGTTGGCCTCACAAACACTTCCTGTGAACTATAGTAGGTCCAAATTCATCGTACTCTTGCTTTGTGATATACATTTTTTGGAAAGTTGAAAGCGAGGCTAAGATGGAGCCACCGATCCATACACTGTATTTTCGCTCAGGTGGAGCAATCACCTTCACTTTCATAGTTTTGGGGATCAGTTTTTTAAGCTCCTTCGTCAGTCGCTCAGCTATACCTGGAATGCACAATAGAAAACAATGTTAAAAGCAATGATGAAATAGTTCCGAAGTTCTTAACCACACCTGACATGTTATTGCCATGTCTGTTAGGGTCTTCATGCTCAAACTGTCAACCTAAATCCGTACTACTAGTTATGGCAATTGCTCATGCTCACAATGAAAATGTATTTCTTTATGATAAACATAATTATCAATTTAAGTCTTCATAACGTTTTCGAATGAATGTATAACGCTTTCATAACCTTTGATACACAGTCAGTAATGATAGTTAGAATAGAACATTGACACAGATCACAGATCAAAAACAAGGATATGTGCATTAGGAGATACTGGGGGCATCAACTCTGTGATAGCAAAGCGCATCTCTGCAAACGAAATATCCAGTTACTGGAGTTCGAGATAACGGGTTTCCCACTTTGATAGATGTAGTCAACTATGGTTATAACGAAGTTATCACTAATTCTAGTTCACTATGACCATTACGCATTTCCAGTATAACAGTCTACGTGACCCACAAAGAAATGTTCGTTATATCCCTCATATACAAACCTGGGTCTTGTTGTACAAAACATTCTTAGACTATCTTAAGTCTACGCTAAGATATAAGGTATACGCTAAGATCGCTTTTTATTCCCACGAGGGCGAAAATATTAGGTTTTTCGGGGTTCACTCGTGCCTAAATATCGGCATATCCCTCGCTCTCGCTAGGGAAATACCAACATTTAGACACTCGTGTCGTGAACATAGTTTGACATGGGCACTCATATAATATCCTCTATGTACAAAGGCACCCTGCTCTTTATAAGCTAATTTACTTTTTTAGCTAAAACTGGTAATGCAGTTTTCAGTAAGTACTCACCAGGGAACATGGTCGAACCTCCAGACAGGATGAAGTTGGCGAAAAAATCTTTCCTCACGTCAATGTCGCATTTCTTTAAGGTTTTAAAGATCATCTCATGAATCCCTCGACATTCCATGCCTAGCAACGGAAAACACTCAAAATGTACAAAAGGGACATTAAATGGGGTTAGTGATCATTATCAGTTACTGTTAAACATTCGTCCACATATATAGATTAGTGCATGAAAGTGAAGCTGTTAAATTGTAATTTTAAGCATAATTTTAATGGGGGATTTTATTTTGCGCTACGTGTACTTTAGTTCATTCTCTTTTGGGATTCCACCTGTTCTCCTGAAGCTGATGACGATAGGGTAGCCTAGTGGTAAAAGTGTTCGCTCGTCACGCCGAAAACACATGTTCAATTCCTCACATGGGTACAATGTGTGAAGCCCTGCCGAGATATTGCTGGAATATTGCTAAAAGCAGCGTAAAACTTAACTCACTCGTGAAGCTGAAGGGTAGAATTGGTCCCAACCTAGCGGGATCTGGTGGTCTGGTTCCATGACTTGGTTGACACGTGTCATCTTACCCCATTCGCGTATATAGAATTTCATGGTTTCAGTCATCTCTGTCTGGGTTCGATTATTTACAGACCGCCGTCATGCAGCCATTCTCTTCTCACAAAGGTTACCTGTCATATCTTCCTACTTCCTATTTAGCTGTGCAATCAGCGACGTTGTTTCAAAAGTGATCATTCTGACTCAATAGAAAGAAGGGCGATAATTCGTGTTGCGATTTTTTGCCGCTCGGGGTTTTTACGAGAACCGGGAAATATGGCCGTATTAGAACTGAGGTTTGTAGGAAGATATGACAAGTAACCTCTGTGATATTCTCTTCCCACAGTAACCTCTGTGGGAAGAGAATATCATGCAGCTGGGATATTGGTGACTGTCGCGTGAGACAACACACAATAAATTATCTACCAGAGATACACTGTGTGTGACGACACATGACTTATACTTTATACATTTGTATTTATGATCTGTATGACATGACACCAATATTACTTCAACAGATAACAGGGGCAAATGTAATCATGACGTTTACCCAGCATTCTTGGCTTGAACAGACACTCTGGAGCACGGAACCTCTCGTCTCCGATAGTTATTACTTTCCCGTCTGGAAGCTCATAATCTTTTTCAAGTGCGGAAGACTCGTCAGCTGTCTTCATCTCCGCCTTGAAGTCCAGTGGAACATAGCAGAGTTTCTCCTTGATGTCTCGCACTATCTCGAACTCGGCTGCAAACACGTTCATAATCTACATTTAATGAGTTCCAATTTCACGTTGCAACCTCATGAAACGAACTTCAATGCTGGTTACGTTACATCAGTAACAGTAGTAGATTACTCCTTCTGAACAGGATTTGTCATATTAGGTTGATGAAATTATCTCCCTTTGATTACGTCCGTCAAAGGCGTATTTTTTTTTTATAACGGTCTTATTTAACGTCAGGGGTTTAGAGTTATCGCGCTTGGCAAGCAAGAGGCTCCGGCCATGCTTTATGGGCAGTAAAATGGAAAATTAGGAAATAATAGGTCATCCGATTGCATCGGAACATATAGGACAACTAAGATGTAAGTACTCTTCATTTCTTACGTCTAGAGTATTGTTATTCTACATTTATGTACCTGTTAGGGCAAATTTAGTGTAAATTAAAGTGATTTCATCCATCGGTAAAATAGCACAGGTTTTAGTCACACGCTTTATCTACATATAGGCTCGATTGCATTAATTTCCGTACATTTAATTTGAATTTGTTTATTTTCACTCTGTAAAGTGTATCTGTCAGGAAAGATACATGTAGTTAATTTGTGTGTATGTTTTACCTAGGCTACAATGGAGATAAATTTGATGTAAGGAACCCTTTGAACTTCGTCAACTTATGCTATTGTAAAAGGTTTGTAATTAGGATATATTTCACCTTTCAACCTGTATCAATTACTGTAGTCTTATTTTGTATATTATCCTATCTGCTTCATGTTATAAGGTACAGTTACTTTGAAATAGGACATAGGATTTATGGAACTCCATTGTAATTCAGGCCTTTGTTTTGTTTACAGCTTTTTACTATATATAAGCTGATCAGTGTAATTTCAATCTAAGGACTGAATAAATACGACACTGACAAGCAGTTTGCGTTGAAGTCAATACACCAGAGCGCAGACAGCACAGTAAAAAGATCTTAAATTCTTCTCATAAGATAAGACCCAACCATGTCATCATCATCAGAATTGTCTCCAGACAACCTTCCTACATCGGGAGAGTCACAGGATGAAGTGGCATCATCAGTCAAAACCCCGAACCAAGCATCATCATCGGTTCAAACACAGAACAAGAAGTCATCTTCAGGCAAGGCTGCATCACAGGACAACACAACCCAGGAAAGACCTCCGTCAGTTCACAGTGAATCCTCAAATCGGTCTAAATCAAATCGTTCAAGAGTGTCCAGTAGATCGAACATTAGTTCAGTGATAGAGTTGAAAAGAGCTGAAGCACAATCGGCTCGTGTTGAGCTACAATTCGCTCAGAAGGAGGCTGAGCTTTCGCTTAAAAAGGCTCAAATGGACTCTGAATTATCTGTAAAAAGGGCTCAACTTGACTCTGAACTCTTCATAAAGAAAGCTCAAATGGATAATGAGCTCAAAATCCTGGAATCACAAAAAGAAAATTGCAGTAGCGAAGCAGAAGTACAGGTTTTAGAATCTGTCGACAGACAATCAGAACAGCGATCACCACCACCCACTTCTCCTTCCATACGATCTAATCCTGTCCAAAAAGTCACGAGATACATATCAGACAATAGTCAAACAGGAGATCACCCGTTGAAATAGTCAATCAGGAACAAGTGCAACAGACAGCTCAAATGAAACCTAACACCTTTGCTTAACCCGAGGCACCACCATACACACCAGATTGCAACTCTGACTTCATGCTACCTACTTCGGGTAAGCGATCTTGTCCTCTAGACTCACGAACTTTAACAACAAGCCTGAAGACTACCCTATTTGGAAATCTGGTTTCAAGAGTGTGATAAGTGAACTTAAGTGCTCACCAAATGAAGAATTCGACCTACTTTTGAAATGGCTTGGCACAGAATCCAGGAAACAAACCCTCAACATCAGGAAAGCCAACCTGCATGACCCAGCTGCCGGTCTACAACTGGCTTGGATAAGGCTGGAAGAAAGATATGCATCACCAGAGAGGATTGAGGCAGCCATCAAGACGCGTCTAAACGCGTCTCAATTATTTGAACTGTCTGATCTAGTTTGTGAGATTGAAGCCATGATGTCAGACCCTACCTACAGTCATCTTTTCGCTTACTTCAACTCCTCTCTCGGAGTCAGTCAGATTGTCGACAAACTTCCCTTTCCTCTACAAGAAAAATGGTTGAACCACGCATTTGGATACAAAGAAAGGCATCACGTTTCCTTTCCGCCTTTTTCTGTATTCTCAAAGTTCCTCTCGGATTTAAGCAGGTTAAGGAACGACCCAAGTTTCAACTTCAGCAGGACTCGCAACATGTCAACAACAGGTCTCATGTTAATCACCCATCTTTTCCACGCCCTCAACAAGTGTACAGGCAGCCAGAACTGATGTTCAACCCCCTAACAGCAGAGATCAAGGTTCACCTAACCCAGGCTTAACAGGAGGGTCTACTCCACATGTTTTGTGCCCACTCCATGAAACACGTCACTCGCTCAACGAGTGTAATGCCTTCCAAACGAAGCCCTATGAGGACAAGATTGACTTTCTGAAATCTAAAGGAATTTGTTTTAAGTGCTGTTCATCAAACCAACATCTTGCCAAAGAATGCAATGAACACATTCAGTGTGCCAAATGTCATAGTACAAGACATTGTACCGCTATCCATTATGCAGAGGTTTATCCCCAGGAACGAACGGCGGGGAGAACAAACACAACAGCGATTTGTCTTCTCAAAAGAAACCAGTGTCTGCTAAATGTACTCAAGTATGTGGAAACCTGTTTGAAGGGAAATCATGCTCTAAAAACATTCTCGTACTTGTGTACCCAAAGGGACAGAAGCATAGAGCTACAAAGATATATATGCATAACAGACGACCAAAGCAATGCGCCGCTATGTAGCACATTCTTCTTCGATCTGTTTGACGCTATGAGCAATGATTATCCATACACAATCTCATCATGCGGTGGTGTTCAACAAACTACAGGACGAAGAGCATCTGGATTTATTGTAGAATCATTGAATGAAGAAAAGACCTTTGATCTACCTACTCTGGATCGAATGTGATGCTATCCCCAACAACAAGCAAGAAATACCGACTCGAGTAGCGCAACACCACAGCCACCTGAAGGAAATAGCTGCATTCATTCCCGCCGATGAAGAGGCATCTATCCACCTATTAATTGGACGAGATCTGCCAGAGGTGCACCATGTATTGTCGCAATTAACTGGACCTACAAAATCCCCCTATGCACAGAAGCTACCGGCTGATGGGTGATAGTTGGCGAATCTTGCCTCGAAGATTCACCTCCACAGACTGTAAATGTGAACAAACTTTATACGCTGGCTAATGGGAGACCATCGGTCTGTCAGCCATGCCCCAACAACCTCCATGTAAAAAAAACACTTGCACCGATGACCATACCGACGCTATCACCTAAATAGGAAGTGATATCTTCTTAACTACCAAGGATGATGATAAACAAGGGAAATCTTCAGAGGATAGGGAATTCATCGATCTGATGGGAAATGAAATGAAAAGGAATTAAAGGGAACTTGGGTAGCCCCCTACCCTTCAAAGAATCAAGACCAAGGTTACCAAATAACCGGTTTGCCGCTTCCTCGCGTGCTAAAACCCTAAGGTCAAGTCTGCTTAGGGATGAGGAAAAGAGGAAACATTTCATAGATTTCATGTCAAAGATACTAAACAGTGGCCACGCCAAATAGCTCTCGTGATTGGATGAACAGGAAGAATGTTGGTATCTCCCTATCTTTGGTGTATACCACCCCCCCGCAGCCGCCGCGAGATCCGGGCTGTCTTTGATTCTTCAGCGACTTACCAGGGCTGTCCTTGAACTCAGTCCTACTGCAAGGACCAGACCTTACCAATGAGCTTCTAGGATTTTACTCCGCTTCAGGCGTGAACCTGTCGCTGTCATGGCTGACATCCAGCAAATGTTTCATTGCTTCAAGTACAAGAGAACCATAGGAACTTCCTGCGCGATTCTTCTGGTTTCGTGGACAACAACCCAGAACTGGAAACAGATAGAACACCTAATGAAAGTCCACGCCTTCGCAACAGACCGCTTCCAGCGGCTGCAACATTTGGCCTAAGGAAAGCAGCTGCGTCCGGTGATGCAATGTTTGGAAAAGATGTCGCTGACTTTGTTGAGAGAGACTTTTATGTAGATGACGCTTGTCGCGATCATTTACAGATAAGGAAACAGCAATAGACCTCTTGAAAAGGACAAAGGACTCCCTTTGCTACAAATGGCAACATATGTTTACACAAAATAGTGTCTAACAGCAGCAATGTTATGCGCGCGCATTTCCAGCAGAAGACCTAGCAAAGAATCTGAAAGACTTTGACTTAACGACAGATCAGTTACCTATGCAGAGAACACTAGGAATCTCATGGGCACATTGAAGCCTACATGTTTAACTTCAGCATCTCAGCAGCAGAGAAACCATTCACCAGGACGAGGAGTACTGTCAGCAGTGAATAGCATTTTCGATCCGATAGGGTTCTTAGCTCCAGTGGTGATTGAAGGAAGAATGATCCTCAGGGATCTTATCTCCAGTGGTGTAGGGTGGGATGAAACCCTCCCTCCAGAACATTACGACAGATGGAAAAACTTGGAAGAATTCCCTCAAATCTCTCAAAACTCTCCACATTCCTAGGATGTTGGTTCCCGCCTCTTTGAACTCTCCACAAGCAAAGAATTTCATGTGTTTACCGACGCCCGAAAGGCGGTAGCTGCAGCAGCCTATGTGAAGGCTAAGAACGATGAAACAGAAAACCCAGATTGGGGATTCATCATGGGCAAAGCTAAGTTAGCTCCCAGAATGGTCCACACCATCCCTCGGCCTCGAACTATGTGGAGCAGTTCTTTAGTGTGGACATCGCTTGGAGTGTCGAGAGACACCTTGGTATACCTTTGACTGATATTGTGTACCATACACGGATAGCAAGATAGTTCTGGGATACATCTCCAACAACACGAAGAGGTTTTCAATATACGCCACAAACCGTGTAGCCTATGTGAGAAAAATACTCCTCACCAGGACAGTGGCACTACATCTCTTCACAAAAAACCCAGCCGATCAAGCTACCAGGCCTGTAGCTGCCAACCTCATGAAAGACAGTCCGTGGGCTCCTTGGACCAATCCAGGACCAATCAGAAGACGATCAGCAAACACCTGATGTGGTCATAGACAAAACACAAGAGGAAAAGACACCTGTTCAAGACAAACCAAAAGCCAATACTAACTGTCTAGGATCCTATAGATTTGAGAAATTTTCTCAATGGAAAAATTTGGTGAGAGCAGTTTTATCTCTAAAGAACTTTGTAAAGTCAAAACTCACAAATGGGAACACTATCCTATCTGCTTCATGTTATAAGGTACAGTTACTTTGAAATAGGACATAGGATTTATGGAACTCCATTGTAATTCAGGCCTTTGTTTTGTTTACAGCTTTTTTACTATATATAAGCGATCAGTGTAATTTCAATCTAAGGACTGAATAAATACGACACTGACAAGCAGTTTGCGTTGAAGTCAATACACCAGATTGCAGACAGCACAAATGTGCATGCTACAAATAAGTGTTAATTTCAAAATGCCTGAAATAGCATCATTTTTGTCCGAACCTCGGAATGGCCATCTTCAATAAAACGTCGTTATTGTGATTTGAACCCTGATACTGACTACTCACAATTGAGTACTTCCCCCAAATCATTGGTCGAAAACATCGTTAAATAAACTGGCCACGTGAAGGTTGATTAATTGGCAGCAAAGTGGGTAACTATCAAGTGAAAGAACTTTCCGATAACTACATAATTTTAAGTAATTCTTAAACAACTGGTTGATTGAAGCATCATTTTAAGTTTGAGAGTTGTAAATTTGCTTTTTGTTGGAGGCCACCCGATGGTTCGAGTGGTCTAGTTGACCAGGTGACCACCATGGTCGTAACTAGTCCCTCGGTCACTATGGTTGACATTGATTGTGACTTGACTATTTACTGGCCGTAGTGATATGATATCTTGCAGACAGTCATCCTCGATAATCTCCAGGGCATACGTTCCGATAAATCTCAACTATACCCTGGATGCATCTACGGCTCGAGCCGATGATTTTATTTACAAGGGTAAATGTATTCTATTTTAAAATCTATGTACTTGAATATTAAATCATGTGTTCGTTGTGGTGATAATGTCACCGATTTTTTCGACTGTCCCATGGGTGTTCGGAAAGGGGTATTTTAAGCCCTATATTGTTTTCCTTCTTTATAAGCGAACTGTATTATGATATTTCTAATTCAGGTAAACATGGTGTGCAAATGTTTCCAGATATTTTTATCCTCCTTTTTGCCGATGATGTAATTTAAGTGTCAGATACTATCGTCGGTCTACAAAACCAACTGAATATTTTGGAACGTTATACAAATGAATGGAAATTATTTGTTAATTTTGAAAAAAACAAACATAGTTATCCTCAGAAGAGGTGGGCCTGTCGCCTCTAAAGAAAAATGGATTTTGAATGGCAAAAATGTATCTATTGTTAATCAGTATACCTATCTCGGACTATTGTTTTCCCATACCATGAACTTTAAAAAGAGTGTTATAGACCTGAAATCACGTGCTAAGAAGGCTCTTATTAATCTTATGTCAGTTTCCCAGAATTTTGGAATTTTAACCCCGAAAATATATTTTAAATTGTTTGATGCACAAATTCAACCGATCATGCTTTATGGGTCTGAAATTTGGGGATTTCAACGTCATGAATGTCAGAGAAACTACACCTTTTAGCATGTAAAAGATTTTTAAATGTAGCACAAGCAGCACCAACTTGTATGGTTTATGGCGAATGCGGTAGATATCCGATATATATAAATTCACAAATCAGATGTTTAAAATATTGGTTAAAGAACAAAGAATCCCCAAACTAGCTGATAGCATGCTTGTACATTTAGATGATAGGGGTAAGACAACATGGGCGTCTCATATTAGAACTCTTTTATTTTCTCATGGCTTTGGATTTGTGTGGCTAAATCAAACAGTTGGTAATATTAATCTATTTCTTCAGCAATTTCGAGAACAATCTGTTAGCATGTATTATCAAGAATGGCATTCCTGTCTAGACAATAGTTCAAGATACCAGTTGTATAGATCACATAAGAGCTTATGAAAATTCGGATCGGCTGAAAATTAGGGCATTGTCTAAATTGTTTAGTGAGACTCATGTTTTGGTTTAAAACAACACCCACTCAGACGCACATACTGTGTAGGGAGTAACAAGTCACCTGATGTATTAGTCAAGTCGTATCCTCTCTCCTGTAGAATCCTCCTGAGGTAGGACGTTATGTTGTGGCCTGCAAGGTTCATTCTCCGGATAGCGTGTCGCAGGGCGTATCCTGGGAATCAGAGTGTAATCAGTACTCAAGACACAAGAAACTATATAAACTTGATTAATACTTTTTAAAGATTATAATGTATGTCGAAGCATATCCCAACTTAGGAATTATAACTTAAATAGATTACTTCAAATGCATTCCTAAAACACAAAGTAAAATAATGAGAGGTGGCTGAGCCGAACGTTGAGGAATATGATACTGATTATCTTTCAGCATTACATATTCATAAGTCCACCCGCTTGTGTCAGAAAATTTGGAATGGATGGATGGATGGATGCATGGATGGACGGATGAAATCCTCATGCAGTTGTCCAAGCCGATTAGTATTATTTTGGCCATTAATGGAATTCCAGAAAACCGAAGCTACCAGTAGCCAATTCATGTTACCTTGCCTTCTTCATGGGATACGTTTGAACCTTTCAGCCACAACCATACATATGAATATCACCACCCTGAATTCAAAGTTTGTGATGTTTTACAAAAAGAAGAGATTTACATGCTTACCATGGTCACGTCAAATATTTGTGACAAAACATGATGTATTAACAAGTCATAGGAAACCCATTACATAATCATACTCATGTTCCAACTTATCAGCTGATCCAAGAAACTCGAATGTCTTCTAGAGTGTTCAGTACCTTCGTATATGGGCACGACATGCGTGACACCATCTCCACTGTCAAGCACTATACCACTACCACGGCCCGAGGCATACAGCGACAACACTGCCTGAATACTGACATAGAACGCTGGAACTTCGAATTTCTCGAACAGAATCTGCAAGAAAGAGCGAATATATTTCAGGGATGTGATATATTCCCCATATCACGATTCTCTGTGACAGATGTGTCAGGTCTTTTATAAGACCTTACCCGAGGACAAAAGCCTATATTTACACTGCCAGCATAACTATTTAAAGGTCGAAAGGAGGTGGTGGTTGGTTGGTTGGTTGTTTAACGCCGCACTCTGTAAATAATCGAGACTGGTCCAGACAATCCAGTGATACAGATCATGAGCATCGATCTACGCAATCGATACACGATGACATGTATCAACCAAGTCAACGTGCCTGACCACCTAACCCCGTTAGTCGCCTCTTACGACTAGCATTCGTTACTGAAGAGCAATTCTAGCCAGGATCTTCATGGGTAAAGGTGTTCGTAATAAACATGAATTTAAATGACTCTGGCTCAAAAAACTTAATCATTCTATCGAAAGGTTTTCTATCTGCTAAAAGCGGATACCTTCCAATCCGTAACATATGTGCCCTTGTGCTGCCTTGTTCCCAAGTGTTATTCAAGAACAGGAACCTATTCTTCCAACAATACTATTTCACGTAGACAAGATACATGGATTAAGAAAAGGTATTTCCAAGTGTTCATTACCCGGACGCACTGATACATCCATCACAGAAGCGGGGTAGTAATGATGACGGATCTGGGTGCCGTTGAACAAAGCAATCTTAGCCCTACAAAACAACGGCACCCTGATTCGTAACCTAGATTCGTGGATTTTGTCATGAGTGACAACATTCAAGAGCAGGCGGAAGTCAAGGTTGGCGCTGGCGTCCAGGAGATACAATTCTGCGCGCATTTGCGTCCCTTAGAACTCGGCCGCACAAATAGCGCTTCGACAACGCAACATGTTAAATCCGGGGTTTTTTCAGTTGATAAAATCTATTAGAACAGAACTGTAGGCGTAACAAGTACTGTATATAATTGGACATATGTATTTTTTATGTTTATTCAATGCCAGCACAGAAGAACCACGAGAGCCTCGGAACAGACGGAACATCATGATCAAGCAAGACTCAATTCTGGGTCCATTGTAACGTGGATCGAAGTAACAACCAGCACAAATACTGACTGGAAGGTTTTAAACATTTATTGTCGATGCCCTGAGACAATAGACAGTTTGGGTTGCTTATAAACGCAGCGCTGCTTCAGTATTGGCCGCAGTCTAAGTAAACTTAGGCCCAGTATTATTCGTTACACTTCTATACTGAGTCTAACAAAACCTTGTGTAAGGTCGCATCAGCTGACCTTTTCAATGGACCAATCAGAACACAGCTTACCAAATCGATAAAGTTGACATTCACATACCTTTTGAACTTTTACCTCGAAAAGGTTTTGTACCCGAACGATTCCGAATGATATTTTCCGTACGATCGCTTCCGAGCGGAGCACGCCACAACAGTGAGTAAACAGTCGCTGAGAATAGCGTTTTGTCAGTATTCAAGGATGTCAGCTTGCGGAAATATTAGCTAATTATAGCCATATCAACAGAAACCCAAAAGCGTATATTCTGCAGGTCATATATCTGTGTTTTATGCGGGTTTTCATTTGTTATGAGATTAGTGTTGGCGACCGGGGAAGAGAAAATCCATTTTGTAAGTCCCGCCAAACCCTAAATAGTAGCCGTTGTCTGATTGGTTAAATCCGTTCGGCCGTCTTGCGTTTGATTGGACGGTCATAGGTCGCTCCAAGGTTACCTGACGCGACCTTCCACAAGGTTTTGTAAGACTCAGTATAGCAGTGTAACGAATAATACTGAGCCTAAGTTTACTTAGACTGGTATTGGCCGCTAGCATCTAAGTGCTAGACTCTAAAGTGATTGTGCATTCCAATAACTGATTCGCTCTGATAATGATTCTCGTATATTGTTTGAATGGCAGTGTCATAATTCTGATGGATTACCCATCTGTATATATGCCCTCTCTAAAAGCATAAATAATAACATTATCGCACATATAAAAATACGTACGAAAGGAAAACACATACATAGAAATTACAAGTTTAAAAAGGACAATCGTAAGTGCACGTTGTCCAGTAAGAAGATGGTCTTACCTAAAAGAAGCTTTTGAGTTAAGAAATGTCTAAAAGATGTATCTTACCATTTTGTCACTATCAATATTATCTTGTTGAGTTTTGTAGTTGAGCCTTTATAGAGAAACAAACTTTGTATCGTATTGTACTGTACCTCTGTCATTTTCTCTCTCTGTTACGTTTCGGGTTCAGGGGCGCGTCCGTCATGAGCACTGGTTGATCCATAGGATGTGCTCGGAGTTCGTTGAAGTAGACATTATACCAGATTCGTTCCATGTCGTCCCAGTTGGTGACGATGCCATTGTGTATGGGATATTCCATGCTGAGCACACCTCTCATGGTCTGTGCTTCGTCCCCCACGTAAAGGTCCTTCCTCGGTCCAAGCTCAAGCATGCACTTCTGTAACATATTTCGAGTGGATGATATTGCAATCTCTTTCAAATCAAATCTGTTTCTTGGTCACAAGAGAAATCATCAATTTTATCTTTTTAACCAGCCAAACAACTTGTTTGCTTGTTTCTTAGTGTGTTTAACGCCGCCCTCAATATTCAAGCTTATAATCGATCCTGGACCGGACAGCCACGGGATTGATATCATCGGCATCAATCACATGCATCAGCAAAGTCAGCGAGCCTGACCACTCGATCCTGTTAGTCACCTCTTCCAACAAGCATGATTTGCTGAAGATCAATTCTAATTCGGATCTGCAGAGGCCCAACCAGTAAGTACTAAGGTTTCTACACTCTCGGTCGAGATTTGTACACAAGAATACGTAAGTTAATGTTGTATTTCTAAGCCGTCAGCAATATTCCAGCTATAATTTAATCAACTGACACATCACTGAGGCCCGGGCTATTGCACCCAGGAGGTCTGGTTAGAAAAAAGTTCTTTGTGTGGTAATGTCCAGTTCCTACAATCTCATATTTATACTCAGGATCACGTACATTACTGTTACACCAAACATTAATACATAGAGAATCTCATCCAAGTGTCCACTGATATCAAGATAAAGTTTAAAATATCCGAGGTTTGCCGAGGATGTTTTTACTTTCATCAATGAGTGTTGATATATTTGATATCAGTAGACACGAGGGAGAGATTCTTCAAAAATCACGCTTCATTAGTTTTTACTGACAGTAGACGTGCAGTGCATCATGTCATAGCATTGTGTAGCCATTAATCTGTTGACGTCATGGCATTGTGAATTATGCAATTGATGCCGTCAGGGCATTGTACAAAATCTACTGTCAAAACGTTATCTCCTGGGAGAAGGCGTTTGATCTCACACAAGCAATATCTCCAGCTGGAAGACAGTTTTGGATGATAATTATAGGATACAAAACTTGTTCCTTGATATGAAAGGGGAACGAGTTTTGTATCCTATTTATTACCCACGTTCTAAAAAATTAAAATATCGTGAAAATAAAGCAATATTTTGCTTTCCTATACAGAACCGCACAATGCGGATTAATACATCATATTGGTGATTTGAATTTCAACTGCTTCACTCCAGGAAAATGTACGCTGCGTAGAGGCAATGTAGTTACGTTAAATAGTCAAGAAAATAACAAATTATGACAGCATCAAGTTCCGGAATTTAGTTTCAAATGCAATAATGTAATTCATCAAAACACTTGTAAAGTGTAAACGTGTTTAACGTGACCTAAATCTCGCCGGAACGTCAGTCGGCCATCACTGTCGGGCTAGTCGTTACGTTAAGAACTGTTCACAAACAACCAGATAAAAGGAAGCATTAGGACCGGCACACACAACAGCAGAAGCCGAATGTGAATAACAGGGAACCGTATGTCTTAAATAGTTGTGGTCAATGTTTTTCATCGGAGGACGAGTCACTGTAAATAATACGGCGCCGCTTGGCGGAGGACGCCAGCGACGCCTGCTCGGCTTGCAATTCCCACGTGTCGAGATTCGATGTTTATGTTGAAGACTCCACCGTACACTGGGCCTAAAAACACACTGCCTACAACCTCGAATGAAGACGATTTCAAGTCTATTGTGTCCTGACTCTGAGAAGTGTTTTAACCCCTATAGAGAAACCACGGGAGGCATGGCAGCGGCAGTAGAACACGTTTTGTGTGCGGCGCTCCTGTATCTCGATCATTGCCTCTGTCAGCCGCGTCCACTTGTCCTCCCGCACAAAACAAGTTAAATACAGAAACATTTTAATGGTTTACATATTTATTGACAAACAAATAAGAAATAATGGCAACAAATTTATTACTCTGTTTATACTCATAACTGTATACTGTATACATAACTCTAAAATTTCGAAGTCATCAGCTTATTGGCAGCCACATTCCATCTGAGGTCATCTGTACAACCCGTGTACAGTGTCACGTGACAGATTAGACAGGGTGTTCGGTTCGTACACCCTGGCAAATCCGCCTACATGGTTTCGTATCTTTTGACTGTTGACCAATCAGAATTCGACAAATTTATCATAAGGGTAATAAAGCCACGTGTTACTCACTTGGTACTTTGGTTTACCGGCCACTGACGAAATAACACGGCGTGGAGCGTCATCGCCAGCAAAGCCGGCTTTACACATCCCGGATCCGTTGTCAATGACGACAGCCGGGATTTCATCGTCGTTGGACATGGTGTTGATGAACGGAACGTCGTGGCCGAGATGTCTGCAACGTAGCAACATGCATACTTTACATAGGCTAGAATGTCATGTGTGTTTCTATGAGAGCAGATCTTCGGTTTGGAAGAGTGAGAGATGGAATATTGTTCAAGGCGGCATTAAGTAACACTCAAGCGTTATCTTGGTGCACTTAAAATGTTTATACCACCATAGCAAGTTAAGTATGGTACGTGTGTGTTTACCTTATAAGCGTTTACTGACTGACTGACTGAGTTTGGTTTTACGCCGCTTTTAGCAATATTCAAGCAACATCACGGCG